TCTTCTGCCCGCCTGTGACTATGCAGGTGCCTCTCTTTCCCCTTTTCCTAATAAACCTGTCCTTTTAAAATGTAAAAAGAAACCCAATACAAACTTTTAGACTATAAGATCAAAACAGCGACTCCCAAAAGAGAGGGGGGGGATAGGAGGGGGTGAATGAGGGGGTCAAGTGTACGGTGGTGGCTGGTGGGTCTTTACAGTTGTGGGTACAAAAGGTTGTACACCTGAAAACTCTATGTTATAAAGCCCCTAGAATGTTGCTGGACCCTAGAATGAAACCGGGTTTACCAGTTATAAAAGTAGGCCAGGTAGAGCCCGCCCCTATTAAAAGTATCAATGTTTACATTTCCCACCCATTCCTTACAGCTGCCTGCAGCCTGCAAGGAGTGGACACCATGGGTGGAACTCCAGTAGACATCGTGGATCATGAGGCAAGCTTGAGGGTAGAATCTGTGAGTTAAGAATGGTGGAATGGAAAGAGGAGGAGTCTGGCACCACAGGCACCTCAGGCCTGCGCAACCCTCCTGGACTGCCATGTGGCAAAAAGAGCATCTCCCACCATGTTTAAAATACTGTTCACAGAAGCTCTGTCACTGAAGGTTCTCATTCCTGTTCAACACAGATCATGCCTACAATACCCATAAAGGCCCTGAGGATGCCTCGTCTACACATTCAGTCGAGCCAAGAGCCAGAACTTAACTTAGGTCTGTACATTAAAGAGTAACTACTGGGCCTCCCCGGTGGCGCAGCGGTTGAGCGCTGGGTTGTGAAGCTGCCTGCGGCCTCTGCAGCGCCAGTTCGTTCCCCGGCTGCTCCCCGGCCACCAGAGGAGGGTCCCACATGGCGCGCAGACCTCTCCTGCCGCCCGCTGCTCCCCTCAGCAGTGTACTTCGGTCCTTCTGCCTGCTCTGCTCCCCGCTCTGGCTCTGGTGAATTCTCTCACCCTCCTGCGCTTCTGACTGTACCCAGTGCTTGTATAAATAAATAAATGTTTAAAAAAAAAAAAAAAGAGTAACTACTAACCCCTGGGGTACAAGATTTTAAAACCTAAAAACAAAGCCATTAAAAAATACTGTTTATCATTTTCTGTTAACCTGGTGGATAATTACTACCAACAAAGAAATAAAAGAAGCAAAGAGCCCACGTGCTCGCCGAGGTCAGAAAGCATGCAAATGATTTCTATTTATGAATGACAACCCGGCTCTTCGCTCCTGGTACAATGGTGGAAAATGTCCTCTTATGTGTGTTTATTTCTAGTCAGTGTTCAGGAAGCTAAAAGGAAAGTTCTCCCTGAAGACCAAGGCAACAAAGACCATGTTGTAACAGGACCTCTGAGACCTTCAAATCTTTCAGTAGTTATAGTTAAATACAAGAGCAAAACATGAAGAGTCAGGTCTGCCCACGAAGGAGTCACTGTTACGGCCTCACGCTCCTGCCACAACCAAGCAGCACAGCAGACAAACCGGCGAAACGCGGCTGCACACAGTGAACTAAAGGCAGCACAGGCCTGGGAGTCCTGAAAGGACACAAGCAGGCAAGCCCTGTTAGCGGCGGGCTTCCTGACTAAAGGCCACCTCTGGACAACGCTGTGGAGAGAAAAGCTTAACAGAATCTCAGTCTTGCCGAGCTGAGGAAGGAGCTTGTATTGCCACCATCCCAGACAGGGTAGGTTCGTCATCGGTTCAAGCAGCCTCTTTGTTGTCTGAGGTGTTCTTATGATGGTCTCCATTGTACTCTGCCGCACTCCACCGCCGCTCCACACCACTCCGCACCACCCTTTCTGGGCTCTCTGGTGTTCTCTTGTGGTGTCCCCGCTGTCTCTGCTTCTCTGCTGCTTCTACCACTGCTACTCTCGTTCTGTTGCTCTACTGGCGTCCCTGTGACGCCGCCCTTATAAGCCCACTCTCAGCCCAGGTGTGCCCACCTATGCATGCCCACCCCCTACTCCAGGTGATTGCAGAGGTCCATCATTAATGCTAATGGAGGGAGGGTGGAAAATCCTGATAATTTTAATTTACCCTACAGAGCTACACTGTAGGGCCACTGAGAAAACTCCAGAAATCTGCACGGAGGCCTCTCAAGTCTGACTGAAAGCCACTCTGCACACAAGGTGAAAGTCCACAAGGACATGCAAAGAGCAGTTGCAGGGAAAGAACAATTCCTGGGAAGCAGAAGCCAAACAATCCCCAGGTGACACAAAGCTGGGAACAGAGTTCCCAATCACCAAAGTGGACAGTTCTTTAATATCCCGACATCTACGTGTGACGCTGGCAGGGGAAGCCTCAGTTCCCCGTGAGACATTATCTTTAACAGTGATCTGGGCCCTGATGGGGGCCTCAAGGCTTTTTCAGGGGAAAAGCCAGGTCAAAACTATTTTCCTAATAATACTGAAGTGCCATTTGCCTTTTCCAGATCACTCTCATGAATACACAGTGGAGTTCCCAGACGCTCCGGGACATGGGATGTTGTAAAAGTTTAATGAAGACGCCTAAGTGAGAGTCTAGCTATTCGTCTCCCCTGTCTGCTGGATCGGAAAACCTGCACTGTGCCCATTCCTGCCCCTTACAGAAGGCTTCTTCAAACAAAGCAACATCTTCTACATACTGTCCATAGCTGTTTTTATATTAGAGTGGCAAAGTTGAAAGGCTGCATGAGTCTAATACATGGTTTGCAAAACTAAAATATTTACTATGTATATATTACTACAAAAAGTCCACTGATCCTTCCCTAGAGTAAAGGTTACGCAAGATCCAACATAAAAAGATTTTAAAAATCAAGCCTCAAAAAGAGCAAGCTGATAATCTTAAGTGACTTAACTGCTGGAACAAAATATAATCCTCTTAAAAATATCCAGCAGCAGCCAAGTAAAATTTACCATATGCGGTACCCAATCAAAAATTATGAGACAAAGAATCAGAATTTAGATATTTCATATTTTAAATTATACTGATATTCTAATACTTAAAGTATTTCACAAAGAAGTACCATAAACATACAGCAAAGTGAAGAATTTTAATGAGTGTTAAATTTAATTTGAACTTTAATAATACAGACTCCTACATCCACAGGGCTAAAGGCAAACTGAGCAGGTCATGTGACCTAATGACACTCTATATGACATTTATACCCAGGTGCAACATTTTCCTGACAGTAACTCATAATTTATCTTTGATTGGTCCTAATTTTTGACAATTTTCCTTATACTAAGTTATACTAAATAACTCCAAGTTAGTCTCTATAACTTGCATTCTTTTGGAGGAACTTTTTTTCTTTTGAGGTCACACGAAGAAATGTAATCCTCCACTATGCAGAAATCCTTCAGATTATGTAAAGGAAGCTACCATATCCCCCAAAGTCTTCAGTAGACCACATGTTCTCATTTTTTAATTATGTGGTTTAGGTTCAATTCTCTCAACATTCTTTCTTCTGAGCACACTCTATTTTCTTTATCCGTGTCAGAGGGGGAAAACTAAATGGAACAGGACACAGCAGGAGGATTTCTTAGATACCCTAAAATCCAATTAGCTCTTAGAGCAGTCACATCCCACCGTTAACTAGGATTAGCTTACCAGCAGCTAAAACTACTACCTTTCACACTTCTTGCTTGCCCTCCTTTCAAGCTTAACAGTTTTTTGGATGCAGATTAAATACAGAATTATAGCTTAATACTCTATTTCACTTATTTCAGATATAACAGTACATTATCCATTGATACAGGAACTAGTCTCTAAAAACATTTTGATTTTAGAAACCATTTTAAGAAATACAAAAAAAAAAAGCCCTTTTAGGAAGAACCTCAGGGCTTCCCTTTTCTTTGTTTTTAAAGATTTATTTATTTATGCATACAAGAACTGGGGTACAGGCCAGAGGTGGGGGGTGGGTGAGAGGATTCACCAGAGACAGAGTGAGGAACAGAACAGGCAAACTGACTGAAATACACTGCTGAGGGGAGCAGCGGGCGAGACAGGAGAGGTCTGCTGTACCACGTGGGCTGCTCCCTGGCCGGCCAGGGATCAAACTCATGCTGCAGTGGCTGCGGATAGCTTCATAGGCTGCATCTTAACCCCTTGTGCCACCAGGGAGGCCCCAGCTTCCCCTTTCTAAACAATTTATTCCTGATGTCATTAGTGGGGACAGAGCAAGACAGGCACCTGTACAGCCACAGAATATGGGGGGTCTGTTCAGTGCTACCCGGGGGCGGGCAGGAGCCAGTGCAGGATGTCAGACTGTGCAGCGTGAGCAGCAGGAGAGCAGGTGAAGAGGAGAGCAACAGGTGAGGGGCATGAGAGCCTGAGTGGGGTAGCAGTCACCCACACCGTAAGGTAGCCTATCATGGAGTGTCAGAGCCCAAAGGGGTAAAGAGAGGATCCACACCATGGAATGAGGTTCTGAGCCCAGAAAGGAAAGAAAGGTGGCCTGACATGCACATCAGAGCCCAGGGCGGCTGAGGAGAACACGGGGGAGTAACTGATGGCAAGTGTCACAGGTGAGGCCAGGAGAAGAGCCGATGTACAAGTTGGGAGAGGCAAAGAAGTGAAATGACAGCACAGGGCAGGTGCAGAGGCTCGTGAAAGGGCATCTGGATGAGGAGGGAGCCAATGAAAACAATGGAAGCCTGATTACATACAGGGTGCTTAATGAAACAAATATATTACTGAAGGATAGGAGAACCAGGTTTTCATCATTGAACAAAGGACTGACAATAGAAAACTAGAATAAACACTGTTATTGGACAATAACACTCCATTAGCACTCCAGGGCTACTTAATGCCTAAAGGAACTGTGCAAGATACCATAAAGAATTAGTAAAGGGTTAGATATAGTAAATTCATAACACTTCCAATATAGTTGAACAGGAAAAAAAAGAATCCCAATGGCTCATGAAAAGCAGAGTTCAGTGCATTCCACTATAATTTCTGTATTTCTTTAAATTTGAGCTAAAAAAGAGATTTCTTTGTCCACTTTTTTTCAAAAAATTGAAAAAATTTTAAATGTATTACCTGAATTGGATATTCACTAAATGAGGCTGGGAGCCATCTGATTGCCAATAAGTTTCTAAATTGTCATCTCGTAATTGATCCACTCCAAATCCTGAAAACACCACAAGCGACAATAAAGTCTCATGAGGAAAAAAAAAAGAGCTATATATTTAAAACATAAAATTACCATACACATTTATGCAGAATGTCTAATAAACAGGACAGCCAGAACTGTGAAATTTAAATAACCAGAATTCTTCTATGCTCTTAACCAGACCTCAACTCTTTGAAGTATATACAAAAGCTTATAACAGGACCAAGCTTTCTTGGTTGTTGGATTTACTTTGTAAAGAACATTTTCTAAGACATACTTTAAAGTCACCATACATTCAAACCTAATTTCTTATACTTTCTATGACACCGATAAGAATATCCCCATGTCCTGCAAAACCCTCCCAACAGAAAATAGATTTAATAAGGTCAATATGCCATATTTATTGTGACAAGAAAAAGAACATCTTAGAAATATTTTCAAGTTACATACATTTTGAAACCAAATGTTTTTTCTGATTAACATTCAGACTAATCAAAAATTAAATTTACCCCAAATCCTATATCATCCTGCTATTCTAGATAACTGAAGTAAAACTATCCTGTGCTGCTTTTTAGTAATTAAAAGCCACAATGATTCATACTAATTACAGAAATAATTCAATGGTGAAATATAGATTCCAAAAATTTAAGAGAAAAATAGCTTTAACTTTTTTGAGGAGAAGGGTAATTTTAAAAATCATTTATTTCTGCTCCTTTCATAATAGTTTAAATTTTTTGACTGAGTGCTATATTCATTACAGATTAAATTCAAAAGGTACAAAAAAGGACATGGTTGAAAGTCTCTATCCCCCCTCCCCACAATCTAGTTCCTATCTCTAATATACTCAATTATATTACCAGTTTCTCACATGCCCTTTAATAGACAAAGTACAAATTGTCTCTTTACCCTCTCTCTTTACCCAAATGATAGCATAATACCTGGTTCTACCTTTGTGCTTTTTTTTTTCACTTAGCATATCTGGAAAATTATTCTGTATCAATAAATGAATAATAATAGTAGTAAGCAGCAAACACTGACATCACATTTATCGTGTGCAGGCAGTGATCATCTAGTAAGTCATTAAATACTCAGTTAACCTAAACAGTTTCCATGTTTTTAAAGGTTACATAATCTCCCATTGTCTGAAAATATAATCATTTAACCAAAGCCTTGTGGGACATTTGTTTCTAATGTTTTCTTATTACAAGCAATACTGCAATAAACATCTATTATCTTTAAGAACATGTTAGTATTTCTGCAGAATATATTTCTAGGATTAGAATCCTGGGTCATTTGATTTTTAATTTGATAAAACACTGCCAATTTCTCCTCTAAAATGCTTCTTTACCAATAATGTATTTAATCCCTCTATATGGCTAATAAAAATTGAGATGTTATGAAACCTTTACATTCAATTTTGAATACTTAGTACAAATTTCCATTGGTCTTAGAGACCAATTTGATATAATGTAGGAAATTTCTACAGAAGAACGTGAATACTGGCAGACAAGGATCATTGGAACCACTTTGGAAGCTGCTACCACAACCTGAGTGTCCATTAACTCATGAACAGATAAATAAACTGTGGCACATCTACTTACACAATGGAACAGTAATAAAAAATATAAAGGAACTACTGATATATATAACAGCATGGAAAAATCACAACTGCATTATGCTAAGTGGAAGAAGCCAGATCTAAAAAGCACATACATGATTACACCTGGCATTCTGAGGGGAAAAAAACAAAAGGAACACAGAACAGATCAGAGATTGTCGGGGGCTTAGGAGGGGAACAGAAAATTGCTCACAAAGGAGCAGGAAGTGATTTTTTGGATGATGGAAATATCCTATATTTAAGATGACACTGCTTACATAACAGTATGTGTTTGTTAAAATTCATAGAAATGTGCACCTAAAATGGATGAGTTTTATTGTAAGTGAATTATACCTCAATAAATCATTCATCAAAAAAAAAAAAGAATTTTAAGGGGAAACAGAATGGGCTTGGTTGGGAAAACAGCTATAGGAGCCTTAATAAAAGTTGCTAAAAGGAAAATAATTTCTAAATCTCTAACATTATATAAAGATCTTCAAAATAAAAATTTTCTCTAAGTTGGAGACTGCAGATGGAAAATTCCCCTTAAGTTATAGATGAAACAAATAAAAAAGACACACATGTATCCAGCCATATCTGAGCAAAAGTCCTGAATTCTAAAAATAAGTGAAAAAGGCTTAAATGCTGCCAGAAAGAACAAGTTACTAGGGGGGTTAGGGACTTGGGGAGGAAGGGGGCCAGAAGGGCATAGCCCTTCATATCTACAACATGACAAAAGAAAAAACTAGGAGTAAAATAAAGTTATTTAGGGATATTAATCACTCAAAAAAATACCACCCATTTATCCAATCTAGAGAAACAGCAACAAACACTAACCAAGTAACAGCAGAAATAGGGGAGAACAGAGAACTCTTATAACCCATGACCAAGTTACTTTGAAGTGATTATTAGTAAAGCAATTGGGAAGATATAAAATGAATGAAAATCCCATTAAATTTATCATTAAAATAAATAAAAAGAATATTAGTCAATCTAGTATACAGGAAAATTGTAGTAGTTACTATAAACAGCTCTCATTTTTTTGTTTTGTGTTGTTTTACCTGGTTTACAAGATGAGAGTGACCAAACAGCTTGTGACCCAATTTCTCGTACTGTTCCAGTTCTTTCCAGCTGCTTAGGATCAGCACCAGGAGGTGTCTTGTTTGGTGTGGTCATTTTTTAAACAGTCTATGTAGAAAAAAAGAAAGTGCATGTTATACCAGGACCTGAGCATCTTTCTACAAAAAGTAAAAATAAAAATAACAGAATGCATCATTCAAATAACCTTTATATTAACCTATTTCTTAACTGCAGTTAACATACTTCAATCACTATAAAAAATATTGGGAATTCCGCTTTTGTTTCTAAAATATATTATGCCTTACAATATGTGCAGAGCAGCAGAGTATAGTAGTGAAAAGGGCAGAGGATCAGGATTTCAGCTTCAGCCTCTCTTTTATAAAGCTTAGACTTTGGGCAGGACTTGGATTTGTTGCGTTCCTGTTAATGAGGTGACTTGACCTATACTTCTATAATAGAAGGCAGTTCTATTGCCCTATGAGTAAAAATTCTTAATTTTTTATTTATTTATCTGAATTCAAATGAAGTTCTGCCCTAAAAAAGTCAGGTTGATACACTCTCTGCACTAGTTTCAAAAGTGCCATTTATATGTACTCTTACAAGCTTAATGAGATCTATGGCTTCAAGGTTTAGAAGCAAATAATTCATTTACTCTAAAACAAAAGTTTACTTCACCTTTCACATCTTTGCTTGGTTAATCTTGGTAAGTCTAACAAAAAATAGCCTTTGGTAGTGAACAATACCTAAAACTGCTTCAGTTGCATCAAGTTACAGCTACTAAACATCGTTATACATGCTATCATAAACTTGGCCCAGACACCTCCTATTAGACCTCAGTTCCCAAATCGCCACACAAACACTTGATATTTGATATTTATCAAATATACGGAGCCACTGCACTGTAACATTCGTAAAGGTTATAGACTAAGATATTAAATTAGTAATTTACTGAATGAATAAATGAACAGCTTAGGTCATAATAAAGTATTGCCACCTGCCAGTTAAATAAGGGCACGGAGGAGACTATTAAGCCTATCGCCACTATGACAAGCTGATTGTCCTGCCATCAAATGTCAAAAAAAAACCAAAAAAAAGTACACAGAGACTCATCTCTACTTTGGGGCACAATTCAACTGCCGGACTGGACGCCACCAAGCAGAAAACACCCGGAGCCAGGAGAATGGGTTCTGGTCACACAAGCCAGAAGGGGCCGAAGGGGCCGAAGGGGCTGAGAACCGGGAGCGAACGCGAGCAAAGCAGCGTCTGATCACATCGCCGGCCCGGCCCGGCCCTTGTCCTCCGCCAGAAGCGCCAGAGCGGGCAACACCCACAGCTCATTCTGGACCCACCATGCTCGCGGTGAGCGTAAAGGAAGATGGAGATTCGGGAAGGGACCGCACCTGCTGTCGCTAGACCCACCCGCCCCGTCGGGGAGAGGCCTGCGCACTCACGGTTCGCGGCCCCGCCGCCGCCACGCGCGATCCTGGGCCGCCCCGCCGCCCCGCCGCCCCGCGCCACTCCCACCTCGCGGCTGGCGACCGGCAGGCTTCCCGACTTGGTGGCCGGGAGTCGCAGCCCGGTGACGTCAACCTCGCGCCGCGCGCCGCCTTCCCCAGGGACTCCGCCTGGCGCGCGGGTCGCGCGTACGCACTACGTCTACGGCAGGCGCGAGGCGGCGACTGGGCACCGCCATTTTGCCGGTGGCCGTAGGAACACGCTGTGGGACTGAGAAGTGGAGGCGAGAGCCGACCTGGCCTCGGCGCTCCCCTCGGCAAGGGGATCGTTTCTCCAGGTAGGGGACGAGCCTGGAGGGGCCAGGCGGGCAGCTGCGACCGGCCACGATCTCGAGACCCCGGGGAGGCGCTCCGAGAATCTGTGCCTAGGCCTCAGGTGGCGGCGGCGCGTGGCAGCTGGTTCCGGCGGGGCAGCTGGGGCGCCGGGGCCGGGGCGCCCGGGGCTTGGGGACGCCTCGCGCTGCGGCTCCCGCTGGCCTGGATCTCGGCCGCTGTGACCCCACCCCCGCGAGGGGCGGCGGGAATGGGTCCTAGTTGTCACCTGCTCCGCGACCCCACCTCCACCGCCCCCCTCGCGCCGGACCCGCTCCGACCTGGATCGGAGCCCCGAGGGAGGCACCTGCAGAACTTGCAGCTGCCGAACCCCCGTCTCTCCCCCGGCACTGTTAGGGGGCTCGAAGGTCCCGTCTGCGAACTGACCGTGGGAAGTCTTGGCTTGCGGTGATCGTGGGATGAGTCATGGCATCTTGCCGCCATGAAGTCGAGGACTCCTCGTCCACTCCCGGGCTTTATAGGCAGGAGGCCGAACGGCGCTGTGCTTCTCCCGGGGAGCAGCGAGTTTCGACTGTAAGGGAGGTGATCCCCAGTCAGCGCCCAGCTTTTTTGGCGCACCCGGCACTTTTCCCCTTGGCCGCTTAATGTTTTCGCCTAGACTCCTGAGATCAAAGTTGTCTTTGCTCGAAATAACCTTTCTTTTCTATTCAGTAGTTGGTGCCTTGGAAAGGGTCCAGGCTGACAGCCACATCCCATAAACTACATAAGCCCACTTTTTTCGCTTTCGTTTTGGTGGTAAATTTGATGTGAGAAATTACTGTCAAAACTTGTTTATTATGACCCTCTCTTTTCACGGGACTGCTGACTGGGCGCTTATGGTAGTGGCATTTGTGTTGCAGATCTCAGATGCCTTTCCCATATCCATTTTATACCAGCTATCTGACAGTGAGGATTTGTTAGTGTTAAGCAAGGGCTCATCTGTATTTGAATCAAGGTTTTTTTTTTTTTTTTAATTATATTATGAAAAACCTGTTCTCCCTTTAAAAAAAAAATTAGGAAAAACACTGAATGTAATTGCTGGAAGACAAAAACAAGGCAGTATTTAGTGCCTGGTCAGTTTAAGACTCTGAAGTGCAAGTTATGAACCACTCTCAGCAGATGTGTTTTAAGACTAGTATATTACCTACCATGAGCATAGTTAGACTATTTCAGGTGATATCAAGCATCCTTTGTTAACACAGACTTTTCAGTGCTTTCACACAGCATTATAAGAATTTTGGTCTTTGACAGCAAATGCTAATACACCTCGCTACCTTTTTTCCTCCCATCTGGAAGAATGACACTGAGGGTCATTATTTGAACCTATTTTCAACACAGTTTGTTCCAGATCTGAAATATCTTCAAATCTCTTTGTTCCCAGGAATGTTACTTCTTTTCCCCTCCTAGCTTTACTGTGCTGTATCTTTCTTCTTGGAAAAAAAAATTTTGAAGCCTTGTTTAGAAAGTTAATGAATGGTGTTTAAATGGTTCTATAAAACAGTTCTGCAAAGAATAATCATCGTTTTTCTTAAAGACAATTATAATTGATCAATATTTTTATATGAATCAACACAACTATCTCTGGTATGTTTTTATTCTATAAAAATCATCTCTTACAATTTCTTAGTTTTTTAAATGATTTGAAATGTTTTAATAGTTTGGCATAAATAGTTTAATGTAAGCAATTTTGTAACTAAGGATTTACCCTCTAGAGAGGAATTCATTGCACTCATTTACCAGGTAATTTGTTTTTTTAGGGGATCTTTGGTTTTTAGGGAGTTGTCACATCCAGGATGATAGCAATTCAAAGTACATTTCTTTTTTTTTTTTTTTTTTTTTTCTAATCTTTACGAGACCTGGACTGGTATTTAAAAGTTTTAAATGAGATAAAGTGAACCTATGGTAGTAACTGTTCACTACATAAATATTTAGTCTCCTTTTAGGGTTTTTGTTTTTCTTTTTCCAGTATATACTTTATGAATAATTGTCAGTATAAAACAGGGTAACTTGCAAGATTTCTGAGGTTATGACCTATAAGAAAATTATTCATGTTTAAAATTCATTTTCTCATTCAGTCAACACAAATGTTTGTGTTCCTACTATGTGCCCTACAGGCACTTGTCCAACCACTGGAATGAACAGACAGATAAAACAGCTGCTCTCGTGATGGAGTACATTGTAGTTGGGGAGGGAACAAATTGTGTAGGTGGAGAGAGAATATGTAAATATCTATATAGAGACCCAGTAAATGTGTATATATATCCTTTGTATGAAATGTATTCTGTGTCATATAGTAGAAAGAGCTAAGGTCAAAAACAAAGCAAGGGAAGGCAGATGGGTGTGTTTTATGCTTGCATGTTTAGCCAGAAAGGCTCGTTAAGAAATAAACATTAAAGACTAGGAGGAGGGAGCCATGTGGCTCACTAGGGAGAATAGCATTCAGGCAGAGAGAATAGAAAATGCAAAGACCCTGAAACAAGAACATGTCTGGCATGAGGTAAGAACAGCAAGAATCCTATGTGGCTGGAGCAGAGTGAACAAAGGCTAGAGTAGTTGGGGACGTGATCAGAAATTAATGAAACTGAACTCTGATTCTAGGTTATTTTAAGGACTTTAACTTACAGTGTGAGTAGGAAAGCCATTGCAGGATTCTAAATAGAGGAGTGACATGATTTGGGTTTTATTTTAAAAGGATCATTCTGACTCCTACATTGAGAAACAACTATCAAGGCTTGCAGTAGCAAGCATCAAGGGTAGAAGCAAAAAAATCTGTTAAGCTGTTAAGAGTAATGTAGAGAAGAAATAACCATGGCTTAAACCAGAGTCATGGGAAATGGTCAGATTCTGGATGTATTTTGAAGGTAAATTCTACAGAATTTCTTGCGTGTAAAAGATAACTTTAAGAATTTTGGCATGAGAAAATGGAAGACTGGAGTTGTGTTGTAGCAGAAGGGACAAGACTGCTACAGGGGCCTCCCTGGTGGCGCAAGGGGTTGAGCGCAACGCAGCATGAGTTCGAGCCCTGGCTGGCCAGGGAGATACCTACATGGCGCAGCAGACCTCTCCTGTCTCACCCGCTGCTCCCCTCAGGAATGTGTTTTAGTAGATCTGCCTGTTCTGCTCCCTGCTCTGTCTCTGGTGAATCCTGTCACCCTCCACACCTCTGGCCTATACCCCAGTTCTTATATGCATAAATAAATCTTTTTTGAAAAAAAGTGCTAGGGAAGCAAGTTTTGGGGATTTCAAGAGCTCAGTTTGGGAGATGCCTGTTAAACTTTTAAAAAGTAATGTTGGTAAACAGATAGAGTACAAGTTTAGGTTTAGGAAAGGTGTCCTCACTAGAAATAGAAATGTGGGAGTTAACAGCATATGATAGATAATATCTAGAAATGAGACCAGAAGGGACATCTTAGAAATGGAACGTATGACCCAATATTAGAGCAGTCTCAACTTAGATGCCCAGGAGACTAAAGTCACGAGGAAAGTGGGAGGAAAACCAGACTAGTGCTATATCCCAGAACCAAGTTAGACACAATTTCTGTTAGGAAAAAGTCTTAATTTGTGTTATAAGGACTGATAATTAAGCATTTGTTTAAGTCATGTAAAGAACTCTGATGACCTGACAAGCTGTTTTGATTTTTACATTCACTTAGACTTTAGTTAAGTTCTTGATGACACTGTTAAACATCCAGTCTTGTAGGAACTTTAAAAGCACCGTCTATACATGCAGTTACTTGGTCTCCTTTCCACTTCAATGCTTTCAGCATAAAAGCCATCTCGTCCTTATTACAGATTCCTGCAGAAATACAGTTTTTTACTTTTTCTACTTGATCAACAGGATGGTGACAACCTTAATAATTGCTTGCCATTTCCAATAATAGTCTCATAGTCAGCTGCAGAAGTCTTGAAGTAATGCTTAGTCTGAGGGAGGGAATGAACACCTTTCTCATGTATTCATTTTCATGTCAGGTGTTTCCGTTTTATTGGTCTGTGTTCATACACTGCTGTCAATATTGAGACAGTCTATCCATTTTTTCCACCTGTCCAGTGTAGTTTCCTCCATCCCTCTTGTTCTTTTTCAGGGTTCCTGGCTGTTACTACTTTTCTTTTTATAGAAGAGCTTTAGCTTTAAATTTGCTTTGGTTGGGTTTTTTTTCCCTCCTTGAGACTGATTTAATGTATTTATTGAAGGAAGGTTGAATTCTCTGATGCTAACCATTCTATATTATAAAAACTGAAATAGCACATCTTTCTTTTTGGGACTTTTATATCTTTTAGTGGTGTTTTGAAAGTTCCCTTGCATTTGTATATATTCTGTGATTCCTACATGGTGTTCTTGGTGACTATTTGTTTTTCTTTATGTAAATCTTCTGATTAGTGGTATGTATGTAAAAGTTTTCCCCAAACCTTACTAAGTTATTTTATTGCTTTTACTAGTTTTTTATTGTGTTTTCCAGATATTTGAATATAATAATATATGCCCTTATAAATTTAATACCTTTGACTTGTTTCTCTTAACTAATTGCAGAGACTATAAAATAATTTTGTTAATTTTTCTTTAATAGACGAGCTGGATATTCTGACTTTCTTAGAAATATGGCAGATAAATTAACAAGAATTGCTATTGTCAACCATGATAAATGTAAACCTAAGAAATGTCGACAGGAGTGCAAGAAGAGTTGCCCTGTGGTTCGAATGGGTAAGCTGTTCTGTGGATTGCTAAAATAAGAGGTTTTCCAAAAAACAAGATAAATTTGCTTGATAGTTCTCTATGCACTTTAGTATACTTTCCCCCCATTCTTAAGAATGTCTAAATAAAATCAAATTTTATTCTGAATTTCTTTTTTGCTTTGTGGAAATTAAAAAGAATGACTTAAGGTTCACTAAATATAAAATCAAACCAGAGTGTAAGTTACTGAGATTCTTATGTCCTACAAAATCTGTTTATTACTTTTATGTCATGAATGAAGGACTACCAGTGTTTGTATTTGAGGGTATTTTCATTTTGAAAAAGCAAGCATGAAAAGCTCAATAAAATGACTTCATGAGATTTTCTTATATTTTCAGGATTTAATAAATTTTAACAATTCTGGTTTGGTGAATTGTTGTAGCCTTTAAGGCTGTGTTAACTAGATTGTTACCTTAATTGTACTAATGAAGTCTGTACTTACCAAATGTTAAAAGAAACTTTAGATGTCTTTTATGGTGGTCTTCCATGCTACTCAGAAATTCCATTATTAATATACTCCTAATGCCAGGTTTAATGTTGTCTCTATATAGGGTGACTATATACCTTTTCAGACTTCACTGAACTGGCTGAACATTTCATTCCTTTCTCTGGTGTTCATTACCATCACCATGGCATATTTTTGAATTAAATGTTCAGATCAGTCAACTTAAAAAAAAGGGACCTGCCATATTTTTACTGGCATAAATTAAGGACTATGTCCCTACAAAGCATTGATTGAAGACATTGTCTCAAATGTATCTCAGAAGTCTTCAGTCAACTCTTTGTAGCACTGAATTTTTTATAGCTTTTTTTTTTTTAATCTGCTTCTTATAGAAATTTGGGACCAGAATTGCCTAAATACCAATGTTCAGAAAATTAGAATGTCAGGAAGGATGACATTATTCTGTCTTTCCCTTTGGCAGGAAAATTATGCATAGAGGTTACACCCCAGAGCAAAATAGCATGGATTTCTGAAACTCTCTGTATTGGTTGTGGTATTTGTATTAAGGTAAGTGTTATTTTATTTATCAGATCAAATTTGTATCCTGAAAATAAAATGGGAAGAATCTGAGTAAATTATAACTATTTTTAAAAGGCAGTCTATAAAAAAATGAATAGATTTTTCCTAAATTATAAATTTAGGAAATAGTATCTATTAAGCAAGAATCTGATACTACTGTTTTTTTAAATGAATGAAACCCACTGTATTTACAAGTTATCTGTTCTAAATTCAACTTTGTGAAGCCATTTCCAAGCAAAATTCATTTCTTTTTTCCCCCTTTCATGAAAACATTCTCCATATATCTTTATCAGAACTTTTGGAAATATAAATACAAAAAAAATGGTCATATTACATACAAGTCTGTATTTCCGAAGTCTATATTTAATTTCAAATTTATGCCTTTTTATAGAAATGCACACTTTGCTATTTTCTAAATTTACCCTAATCCCTTGAGTACTTCTGTATTTACATTCTTTTATGGTTGGTTTTATCCCAATAGTTAATTTTTCAAAATACTTCAAATTAGTTTTCATTGCATTGAATAGTTTTATTAGGGCTTTTGACTTAAGAATGATAGATTTCCAACTTTAATTTATGAAGTAAATGCATAAAGTTCTTAATATTTTACTTGTGGATAGCATGTGTTAGAATGGAGTATGGATATCACCCAGGTAAGACTTATGTGTATTTTACATTGGTTTCTGAATGAGTGGTTAATTATTCAGTAAGATTTCTTGGGACCTGAAAACATTTTCTCTTGTTTTTAAATTATAAACAGGAAACAAAATTTAGTAATATTAGTCTCAACAAATATTTACTGATCTCTTATCATGCATACCCATTTCCTTGGTGCTACAAATCTGGTTTTGAACAGTATATTATGTACTCTATTTTCTTTCAGCACTCCTGAACTAAAAATGAGATTTCAAAATCAACTGCTGGATATTGTTTTCCTTGTAGATTAGAAAAGTTTGAATTACTTGCAGCAGAAAAAGGATAATACAGAGTTCTGTAGAAATAACTACATTGGCAGAAAAATACTTATGTAAAGAAATAATACCTTTGATTACAGGGTGGTAATTACTCTGTCAGTTAACAATGCTTGGTTAGATTTTTAATTCCTTGTTCTTATAACTTACAAAATGGGACTTCACTGAAGTATTTATATAGAGAGACTTTTGAATTGGTCCTCTGAGCTCACTGAACAGTTCTGCTAAACAGATCTCTAAGATATATTCTTTAGATATACTTCTTTAGTATCGGTACTTTGAGCAATTTTTCTAGCCATTTTACCACTCTTAAGTGACTTTCCAGCTCTTTTCATTTTTGCTTCTATGTGATACCTTAAAATTATAGCAGGAAGACAATCTTTGCTCTGTGCAAATATACTAGCTTGGTGGGACATAAATAGATGAAAAAAGGTATTATCTGTGGCCTTAGAAGACTTTTCAAAGTAGAACAGGAAGCCTATGTACAAGGACAAGACAGATATAGAGGGAAAGCTTGTGTTACAATTGGGTGTGCAACCTGTACTTAATAGCCATGGTTTATCTTGCCTCTCACCCTTCTCTTAGCTAATAATTTTTAAAAACCCACAGGTTCTTTAAGGCTTTTCAGTACTATTAAACACATTAAATGTCTTAACTATGCCATCACTAAGGGGAATGCAAAATTAGTTATGACTCTTGCCTTTGAGAAAAATTTTTTTAAGTAAATAAGAATAAAAAACAACACACCCCCCCCCCATCTTTGTAAAGCTCATACTTGGAATATTGCTTATAAAAATTTTTCATCTACTCATCTTAGTCATATTGTATATTTCTAAAAATTAACTCAAAATTAATTCTTTACTTTAAACAACAGAAATGCCCCTTTGGCGCCTTATCAATTGTCAATTTACCAAGCAACTTGGAAAAAGAAACAACACATCGATATTGTGCCAATGCCTTCAAACTTCACAGGTATATTTTCAAGTAAACATTCCTTTTTACTACAGCCAAGAGTAAAATAAAATACATTGGGAATTTTCAGAAAAATGCAAAAATAGGAAAAAGTGGTATTAACTTCCACTAAAGCAATAGAATTACCTGGGTATATTTTTAAAAGTATAATCTCTGACTATCATTTGAACCTCAGTAAATTGAAGACTTACAGGTGCCTCTAATATACAGCTGGGGCTAAGAATCACTGTTGACCATAATGCCCCATCTCCAAAATGGTTTTTAATGGAAGTTACCTTTTTATTTAATTAGTATTTTGTTTTATTCATTGTTATTTATCGATTAATCTTATAAATTACTTAAAATGTTACTCTGAACTTGGACACATTTTATTAAATCACCTTTTTTTTTTTTGGATGTTTTTAATCTGCTAAATACTAATATTTTGAATCTGGAAGTCTAGATTTCACTAATAAAAAGGTATTTCTCAACCTGCCAGCTTTAAGGGGCCTACTGCAGCAGGGAGAATGAAGTAGACTATTTCTGGTTCATGTGACACTTCTCTCCTTGTAAGTAAATGACAGGCCAAGGGAAAAAGAAAATTGTGAGGCTGCACCTGCTATGAAATTCATACCAGAGCATTTTGTTATACATTAAAACTGAGCCTTATGTGTTTAGAAGAATTGTTATTTTAGAATGAACTTTGACTGAAAATTGAATAAACAAAATATGGAGTAATACTGGTCCTACATGCATTTCTAACAATTAACAGTTTACATTTATTTTGGCTGTTTGTTTTTTTTCCTAATAGCCAATAATATCTGGCGTATATAGCTTTTATAGTTTATTAGTGGATGTGTGTGGAGTGCAGTGCTTTAAAATAAATCATTTTGATACTATGTAATTTTCTATCTAAATCTGAGTAGTTTTATTATTTTTATATGCTTATGACAGGTTGCCTATTCCTCGTCCAGGTGAAGTTTTGGGATTAGTTGGAACTAATGGTATTGGAAAGTCAACTGCTTTGAAGATTTTAGCAGGAAAGCAAAAGCCCAACCTTGGAAAGTACGATGTATGTATTACTGCCTTATACAAATCAACACCATGGGTTGGTTTTATGAGATTTTGAAGATAAGTATATAAATTTTTTTTTCAATGTTCTTATTTTCAAGATTACTAATGGAGTTAATGCTGAGAAACTGATATGGGGGAACTCTGTCCATTTTAGTTAAAATTTAGTAGTGCTATATTACTGATGATTTTGAGTTCCCTTGAACTGTTATGAGTTGGTATGCCTTGATTTGAAATTAAATCCATTCCTGATTTTAAGATTAAGTAGAAGCCAGAAGTATACTATTGATATTTGGATATATGCTCTATTTCGTATAACAGTTACCTTCTTTATTTGTGTTACTAAATTGAGTCCAGGTAATAATTATATGTATATTTCTAGGATCCTCCTGATTGGCAAGAAATTTTGACTTACTTCCGTGGATCTGAATTGCAAAATTACTTTACCAAGATTCTAGAAGATGACCTAAAAGCCATTATCAAGCCTCAATATGTTGACCAGATTCCCAAGGCTGCAAAGGTCAGTTCCGTTTTAGGAGGAATTTATGTATTATATTGGTTGAGGTATGAAAGTAAACTTGTTTTACTTTGTGGTTTTTTAATGTTGAAGGAAAGTAATTATTCCTGATATATTATGACAGGGGACAGTGGGGTCTATTTTGGACCGAAAGGATGAAACAAAGACACAGGCAATTGTATGTCAGCAGCTTGGTAAGTGTTGGTTTTGTGTGTGTGTGTGTGTTAACTGGCCCTAAACTTAACTCACCAAGAGATCTATCTTTAAATGAATTACTGAAGAAAGTGGGAAAATCTCTAGTAATTGTCATATTGACTTTATAAAAGTTACATAATTTTCAATGAAATGTCATTCAAACCCGGAATGACATACAATATATGTTTTGCCTGGAAGAGGTTAAAAAAAATAACATTGAATACAATCCCTCTATGTTCTTTGTAGATTTAACCCATCTAAAAGAACGAAATGTTGAAGATCTTTCAGGAGGAGAATTGCAGAGATTTGCTTGTGCTGTCGTTTGCATACAGAAAGCTGATATGTAGGTTATTTTATACCTTTTGTATGTCTTAATCCTCTAGAGTTTTCATTTGTAATGCTGCGAATAAAGCAGTGGTTTTGAGAAAAATAGAAATAGTATCTACAGTTCTGTCTTCGGGGATAAGATGTTGAAGCAGTTACATATTTATTATCCGGTCTCCCTGTCATTACTAGAGGGAGTTAAATCTCATTCAGAAAAGTACTTTACAATTTACAGGTTCCAGAGTTTTTTAATATAGAATCACTCATCTATTATTTAAACTACATTAGTACATATTTTTGAAGACTTAAGCTCTAAGACAGGCCAGCAGACTTTGAAAAATATATCAAATAGAACGTGAGTTCTTTAGGTTACCCTGAATGAAGGTGGCATACCATATATGAGAGAAAATCAAAGTGTGAACAGCAAGTTTCCTTCCTGACTTCCTTGGCTTCCCTCATATATTTGTTGCTCCCATCTTTTTCCACATTTCTACACTGTAGCCAGTGCAGGCTAGCTCTTCTCCACAAAGTATTCTGTAATTATATGCAGTATCCTCCTTTCAAAAAACTTTGCTTTAATACTGCTACTTTACTACTTTCCCCAGATTTGATGTTCAGTCCTGCTTTTCATACTCCTTCCTTCTGCTTGTCAATAGAATACAGAAGTTTTATGGAGTGGACTCATTAGCATAATATGATTTTTATGGTTAAACCAGCAATTTAAAAATAACATGCAGAATAGAATTAAGTCATATTTATCTTCAAAATTATGTTTGCTTTTTTTCCTTATAGTTTCATGTTTGATGAGCCTTCCAGTTACCTAGATGTCAAGCAGCGTTTAAAGGCCGCTATTACAATACGATCACTAATAAATCCAGATCGGTAAGTAAAGATTTGATATATGCTGTAGTTATTTGTTTGGGTAGCTTTCTGAAAATTAAACACTGGGACAATCATTGTCATAAACATGTGCATGTTTTCCATCTCAGTTCTTCAGACCTACCACCTGAACTTAGCCTCTTATTTGCTAGTACACCTTTTCCAGGGAACTTAGGAATTACTCTAGAAATTTGGCGTCTGTGTATGGAATTGTGGGAAGGTCCTTAGCTTTTATTAACTCCTCAAGTAGATGTGGAATTTAAACACACACAAAGTTTAAAACATTGTAAAGATAACCAGAGAGTTTTGGCTGTTCAGGTTCTTATTGAGCATAAGAACAAGCTAGTTCTTAGTAACCTCTATCAAGTAGTGACAGCAGCCTTTTGCTTGATATGATTGTTACACTTAATTTTTAAGTATATTTTTTACTAAAGTTAACACAATAGTAAAAATAAAGTTATCTAAGGCTATCAGTTAATATGTTATGTAACATTTAAAAATTAAAATCTGTATTGATTTTCAGATATATCATTGTGGTGGAACATGATCTAAGTGTGTTAGACTATCTCTCTGACTTCATCTGCTGTTTATATGGCGTACCAAGTGCTTATGGTGTTGTTACTATGCCTTTTAGTGTAAGAGAAGGTAACTTGAAATGCTTTTCAAAATGCTATGTTCTCTATCATTATGCTTAGAAAATGTATTACTGATGTAATTTTATTTTGCTCTATTATCCAAAATTCTAATTTAAAAAATTTAACCGCTAAGTAGAATATCTGTAAGATTATCTACATCAGTTGTTAGACAAAACATACTTCTTTTTGAAGAATTTTATGATCATATACAGTGATATAAACCAGTGTTACCTCAAATAAAGTAAATTTTTAATAATATTATGTTGGGTCTGGATTTTCCAGGGCTGGAAATGCTTTACAAATTTCACTTTTTGTTGCTTTTCTTTTGCTATCTTAAAAGCCTCTTTTAAGTTTTGACCTAACTATAGTATTTTCCATCCTCAAATTTATCTTTAACACGTAGTAAAACTAATTAAAATTCATCTTAAATTCACTTAGTGTTCATTTTATTTCAATGAAATGAAATGTTTCAAATTCATCTGTAAGCTATGTTCTAAGCATAGAACTAAGACTAATAGTGTAGTAAGAAATTAGTATATTAAAATAACTTAGTAAGTATAATATTGCTAAGTAAGTGACTAAAAAAGTCTGATAGTTTAGTTTTCATTTATCCCCTTTACTTTCATTAAGGAGAGACTCTGGCCTCTCTTTTCATGTCTCTTCCTCACCTATACAAGTTGAGCAAAGGCGGTTGAGCGCTGCACTGTGACACTATCCGCAGCCTCTACAGCGCTGGTTCGATCCCTGCCAGCCCGCGAGGGTCCCACATGGTATTGCAGATCTCTCCTGTCGCGCCTGCTGCTCCCCTCCGCAGTGTATTTTTCAGTCTGCCTGTTGTGTTCCCGACTCTGTCTCTGATGAATCCTCTCACCCTCCCATGCATCTGGACTGTACCTTGGTTCTTGTATAAATAAAATAAATCTTAAAAAAAAAAAAAAAGGTAAAAACCTGCTGCTAAGTGCTCTGCCCACCTGGTATGCCTTTCCTTTACACCGCTTTCCTATTTCCTTACACTGCTTCCTTACTCCTAGTCTTCTATTTCTTCGCTCCAGCTATACTGTAAACTGAACATCTAAAAGACCTAAAAGAACTTAGTTCATTAGGGGATAAAACCCTGCGATAGTCTATTTATGTAGCCTGGTAGCTCCCTAGGTTGATGCAGCCTTCTTTTTTTTCCTTTTGAGTTTTCTCTTAAATGAGATTTTTTTTAATGAGATTTTTTGTTTGCGTTTGTTTTTTCGGAGAACAAAACATGCAGATTTATTGAAATATACTGCTAAGAAAAGCAGCAGGCAAGGCAGTTTTTGCCCTGCCAAAATAATTTTGAGAAACCTAAGAAATTCTTTTGGAAATAGAAATTTATATGGCATCTTAGCACTTCACATAAAAAACGGTGGTGACTTTTTTAATTCATAAAAAATGCACAAAAATATTTTAGTTTGAGATGTGGATTAGGAATTATCACTTATACTTTTATACTTGATGTGAAATAGATGTATATTTTAAGGAAAATTGGTGAGACTGTCCAGTTTCCCAGTACTCTGAGAGATGATATCAGAACCAATTATTAATGCTTGACTCTCCTCAGTCAGCAAATATTTATGGAGTGGACCTACTCTGTGCCCTGTAGTAGTTCCAGAATTGTGTTGGTGTCACAGTACTGGTGTGGGGCAATCAATCATGCTTCAAAATTCCAACTATAACTGCCTTGGCTAAAGGCTGTGCCATTCAAAAAATGGTTTCTGATGAGGTTTTTAGTGTGTATCATCTTTTAAAAACAATTAAAATGACTGAACTTAATATTTGTTTTCTTTTAGTATACTAAAAGAAATTAATACAGTATGTGTAAAAACTAATCATGAACTGTAAAAGCAATTATAGTGTAAATTCATTAAATTGACAAGATAAATATGCAGTAGGAATGACTTATTAACATTTTTTGAGCAATGTCACTTATCTGAGTCTTTATTTCCTCTCCTGCTAATTAGGTACTTGTATTAAATGGCCACTAAGATTCCTTCTAGTTAGTTTTTAATTTTTGGTCTTAAATTTTTTTAGCCTCACATTAATAATTTTTAAGTAGCTTAAACTCAAAAAAATGCTGATTATCACAGAATAAATATACCTGCTCATTTGTTCTGTCAGCAAGTATCTACTGAGCAGTATGTTCGTTAGTAAGGATACAGGCCCTGATGTGAGTTTCAGTCCCTGATGAAATGTAAGGTTCCTAGATTCTCCCTCAATACCTTCTGAACTTTGAGCTACTGTCTTTTTCATTACCTCAATAATCCACTGTTTCACTTCTGTGTGTCTGCATGGTAGATCTTAACACTTCTAATAGGGAGGGATTCTCGTGAAGAATATAGTAATTTGCTTGCAGTTTTTTGTTTAGATAACCGTATTTATACAGGGAAGCCAGTAATAAATGCTACAGTTAGTTTGGTATTATAAGTTTCTTAAGAAGCTGCAAAATTAACCTTAAAAAAAATGCAATAAATTGTAATATCAGTATATGGTTATATTCCATATAAAAATAAATACTCCTAACTTGTTTATTTAAAAAATTATTTCCCAGACTTTTATGTTAATACACAAAAGTATTCCATTTTTACCCTACGTGTCATTTTTAGAGAGAAATTGCAATTTAAAATTTAAAAACACAGTAGCAATGGCCTCATATACTTTTGCATAAAACCTGATGGGAAAATTCTTAGAAAGTCACAAAATGGAAAATGTGCTCCTTATATATGTGTGTGTGTACACAGACATGGGTATTTTTACACGAATATTTTAAAATAAATTAGATACATAAAACACCATATTGTCAAAGCATAGTATCATAAATCTATGTGTGGATTACTCCCAAGAGAGCCTAAGGTTTTTGACTTTCATATGATAATTTCTTATAGAAAAAAATATCTTTGATCCTTACTAATCTGTTGATAATGACTTTCTTTCAGGCATAAACATTTTTTTAGATGGCTATGTTCCAACAGAAAACTTAAGATTCAGAGATGCATCACTTGTTTTTAAAGTGGCTGAAACAGCAAATGAAGAAGAAGTTAAAAAGATGTGTATGTATAAATATCCAGGAATGAAAAAAAAGATGGGAGAGTTTGAGCTAGCAATTGTAGCTGGAGAGTTTACAGATTCTGAAATCATGGTGATGTTGGGGGAAAATGGTAAGTTTTCTTTATTTTGTGTTACTTGAATTGTCTATTCTGTTTAAACAATTAACTTAGTTTTAACTACTGCCTGAGAACTTTGACTCAGTTAATGGTCTGGGGGCAGATTAAATCCTTGTGTTTCTCAGTGTGACTCAGCAGGTTTTGTGATGGCATAATTTAATCTCACCTGTCATTCAATCAAGTTCATATTTTGTAACCTTCATTGAAAAGATGTTTTTTCTTTTTGTTTTGGGGGGTTTTTTGGCTTTTTTGGGTTTTTTTGAAAAGATGTTTTTTCTAATCTGACGATTTTATATATAAATTGAAGCCCATTTATTCATCCTGAAAACTGACTAGAAAGGAAAGGATAAGTTGGTAATTCAGAAGTAATCAAGTTTAAAATTTTCTCCTTGTACTCATTCCTCCATTTGGGGCTTTTCTTGTTTTAAATTCAGGCCACTTTACCTTTATTAATAGTTGTATAACCAGTATTTTTAAATACTGGATTTCCATAATAAATATAGATATGATAAATGTCTAATACTGTTTTCATGATTTAAAAAAAGTTAAATCATTTGTTTACAAGTCACAAAACTGACTACAGAAGGAAACATTTTTATGAGACTTGTTGCAATGTCTTGTCTTCAGTTCATGGAATTTTGAACTGGTTGCAATTAACTAAATTATGTAAATGGACTTTATAATGTAGAAGACATTCTGTGCTCAACAAATTGTATGCATTGATGTTTTAACTAAGTCTTTTTAAAACTAACCAACACTCATTTTATAGATCTACTACCATTTATTAAAATTGTCGTTTTAAGCTTTTAGCCAGTTTATATTCCTGATTCATTTAGAATGATACTTCAGAGGTGAACTCTGAAAGTTTGAACGTTATTTTCTCATATAACCTTTAGAATTACAATGTCATCATATATCTCTAAAACAAATTTCTCAGTTAAAACCCAGTAGTATATAGTGATGTACTCTAAATGTGAAGCTTGTTTCAGGTCATTTTGTCATGTTGTGTTGCCAGGTACTGGTAAAACGACGTTTATCAGAATGCTTGCTGGAAGACTTAAACCTGATGAAGGAGGTACTGTTGCAATGTTGAATCTTTATACTCTGTTTCACATAGTAAACTTTAAAGACCTGGGCAGTTGTCATTGTCTCATTTATTTGCATTGTTTTACAGGAGAAGTACCAGTCTTAAATGTCAGTTACAAACCACAGAAAATCAGCCCCAAATCAACTGTAAGTTATTTTCTCTTAATTGTTAATTAAACACATACTCACGCACATGCGAGAGCCAGCATTTCTACTCATGGGTATATGAGCAATAAAGACAGCTAAACACAGAAATTTGCACCCAGCTGTTATTTATAATTGCCACTAAGTAGAAAATCACCCAATCAGCCATTAACTGATGAAGAGATAAACACAATCTGGTACACCTGTAAAATTTAATGTTATTTTTCCATTAAAAAAGGTAAACTGATTCATGTTGCAATATGGATGAACTTTAAAAACATGAAGTTAATCTCTGTTGATCTGTGCACATTTTGTAGAGAACTTAACTACAGTAGCTACACCCAGTAACTCAACACACACTTTGTGTTATGCTTATTTGAGATGGCTTAGCTTACAGTAAAAAAATTAATGGTTGTACTTTCTGTAAGATTAATTTTTAAGTTGTCAAATTCGGCCCTCCTGAAATAGCAAGCGAAAGGCATCATGACACATTACCGTGCATCTGTGCTGTCTCACTGATTGCCTGCTGCTGTGCTGGCCTTCAAGTTATTCCTGTTTTCAACCCATACAGATAGGGTTGAATCTTTAAAAATCTCAAAATATGCCACATGGAATGGATAAGCATAAAAATACTTTCAATATCTACTGGTGACAAATTGTTACGCTTTTGCCCTAGAGCTTAAGATTCCTAAACAACTTCTAAACTATAATTTTATTATTTAAGTACGTTTTCCCATTAAAAACAGGGTAGTGTTCGACAGTTACTGCATGAGAAGATCCGAGATGCTTACACTCATCCACAGTTTGTGACTGATGTAATGAAGCCTCTGCAAATTGAAAACATCATTGATCAAGAGGTACTCTAGTTACCTTATGTATTTTCTTATTTTAAACTTTGGATGTTTCTACATGCTTTTCTAAACTTCTCCAAACAGGTGCAGACATTGTCTGGTGGTGAGCTGCAGCGAGTAGCTTTAGCTCTCTGTTTGGGAAAACCTGCTGATGTCTATTTAATTGACGAACCATCTGCATATTTGGATTCTGAGCAGAGATTGATGGCAGCTCGAGTTGTCAAACGGTAATGCCCTGCTCCTAGGAGTATTAGCTTTCTGTGTACTTAAATTCAGCTCTATTTTATATAACATATAAATATTTAATGATTAAAAAACCATAAAAAATTTGAAATTATGTCTTTCAGCTTCATCCTCCATGCTAAAAAGACAGCCTTTGTTGTGGAACATGACTTCATCATGGCCACCTATCTAGCAGACCGGGTCATCGTATTTGACGGTATTCCATCTAAAAACACAGTTGCCAACAGGTAAGGCTACTTCCTAAAATATTCAGACCTAATTTTGAATTCTAACAACTAGCAAATTATTTCAACTTACCTTTTGTCTGCTTCATCATTTGGATTTCCAAAGCAGAATTACTAGAATTTTGGTTCTGCAAATTAAAAAACCATTGATGTCATATATAAAATAAAATAAACCCATGTAGGCTTCATGAATTGCCCAACATGTACTGCTAATGGTAAAATTCACACTAGACCCCAAATACCTGTTTATAGCACAGTTAAGATGATTTTACTTCTTCCCTGTTCTCTCATTTTTCCTAATAGAACTGATTGAGAGCACCTCCATTATAGAGATGCCTAACATTTAAATCAATTGATAAGAAATTTCTTGTAATTGGGTTGGACCATTTGAAGTTACCAATGTTCAGCCCTTTTTGACTATACACACAGCAATTTCATATGACCTCCACATACTGTTTTCTTGGTATCAGAATGGGGAAATAGAGTTGCTATTAGAATAGTTCATCCAGGGCCTCCCCTGGTGGCGCAGAGGTTGAGCGCTGGGTTGCGAGGCTGCCCTCATCCTCTGCAGCGCCAGTTCGATCCCCAGCCACTGGGAGGTAAAACTTAATCACAATGATTTTATTTTTCCTCTAGTCCTCAGACCCTTTTGGCTGGCATGAATAAATTTTTGTCTCAGCTTGAAATTACATTCAGAAGAGATCCAAATAACTACAGACCAAGAATAAACAAGCTCAATTCAATTAAGGTATGTAACAAAACTCCCTTAAATCATGGACAGCTTCTCGAAAGGCATGTTTCAAATTGAAGGCTGTTTTGTTGACACTGTAGATCAGATTTCATTCTAGGATTTATGTGTTTTTCCATTTTAATGTCTGGTGGCACACACCTGGCAGCAGTTGTGACGCAGCTGCCGTGGCTGCATCAACTCGGGCAGATTTGTTCACATTGTCTCTAAATTGTGCCCGCTGTTTTACTTACTACTTGCATTTAGTTGTAATTTAAAATGTTTTCAGAAAGGTGTTAATTTATCATTAAATAAGGAACTCATTACAAATACTTTAACCAGTTTCTCTCATACATTTTTCTTGTGCATATAAAAGAGGAATACATAATTAAAATACCTTGTCTAAAAACAAGCATTTCACTCACCTCAAATTTCTAAGTAACAGAAAAGCAGCGTAATAGGCAGTGTCTTTTCTTTGTGTACATGAAATAATTGTGTGCCCTGTACTTGATAAAGTTTGAAATAGGAATTTTTTAAGAAAGGAGTTCTCTCAGGTTGCTTGAAAAAAATGATACTCTAAAAGCATTTCTATGTTTTAAGTATCTCCTGTGGTGCCAACTGAAGACACTGTTTACATTTCATGACTATCCATCATCCTTACCACTTAGAAGTGTTAAAAGTACTTTATACATAGCTCTACCCTAGCACTTAGATTTTGTTCCATTCGCATTTATGCTTTGCTTCTAAACAGAGGTTAGAAGGTAGAGATCAGGTCATTATGCACAGCAAGCATTCATACATTCCCAGCACAATGTCTGGATGCCTTTTGCCTTCCCTGTAGATTTTTTTTTGTAAATGATTTATGTTACTCTTTGGCCAAGATTAAAAAAAAAATGACACATTCAGAATTAAATTGAAGCGCTTTCTCAGTTCTGAAAAACATGCTGAACTCAAAAGACCAAGTACACACACCTTTTTATCCCAAGAACTTCTGAAGCATTCCACTTTGTGAGGTCATTTTCTTGTGTAGAGAATCATGGTTCAGTCGCCAGCTGTTCCTCTGCTTCAGTCCTAATAAGGGAGCAGCTATACAAGTAGGTAGATGGGTCCTTACCAATCTGTAAACAGTACTGGGGAAAGTTAGTTTTATATACATTTTGTGTAATAGGCAGTTCTGAAATTAAACATGTTACCCTTTGGACCAGACGCTTATTTGAAATGATGAAACGAAGTTAATTAGCTTCCTGGAAACGGTATCTTACGTAGAAAAATTTCATGTGTCTTAAGTACAGCATTTTATGTAAAGGGGCTTTTGCTTGAGGTGGATCAGGCAAGGTATTTTGGTAGAAATTTTGCCCTTAACTTGGATCCAGTAATATCCAGACACTGAGTGCAGGGAGACTGTGGACTTTCTCCTCAGTGACGCGTGGCAGTTCCCCTCTACATCCAGGGAAGGAGTTCTGATTTTTCCTTCTCTATTTTATCTTTTAGGATGTAGAACAAAAGAAGAGTGGAAACTACTTTTTCTTGGATGATTAAACTGAGAATACTTATAAGCCATTTATTAAGAGAAACATTTATTGGGATTTTTGTCGTATAAAACTTTAATCAGGTTTTATGCCTCATGCGCTGGAGCTTGAAGAATAATTAATGTAACATCAAAAGCCAGTTATGGTGTTTATGGTAATTTGAACACAGAAAATGCCATTTTTCCGTTCTTGATAAGGCCCTTTGTGCATAACATTCTAAAATGAAGACATTTCAGGCTTTACAGATTACCTCCAAGTTTTCATGTGATACGGAAGATTTTCAGTAGATGTATTATATTCATGTACCAACTGCTGACCAGTGTTGCCCCGTTTTAAAAAATCTTGAAAGTTTCTGTACTTCGATGATTTGCCAAGTATCCAAGATAAAGAAACTGCCCTTATTTTAAAAACCAGTCAAAGACTCCATAGATGAAATTTGATAAATAAACTTCAGGATTATATTTGTTATTTGTTTTCAGTCTTTGCACTATATTCTGTGTATTTAGACTTTCAAAGGAAAGTGTTGGAGATGGTTGTTTCCAACTTAAACATTGTTTACAATGTTTTTGGTGCTTTTGAATATCAAAAATCATTTCAACACCACACCCCCAGAAAAAAACTCTAACCTTTACTCTGAATTTTCCAGTTTTAGCATATTCCACAAGGTTCTGTGTTCTGTAATTATTCTCAAAGTATAGCGTCATTCTTTCAACATACATTTTATATAATCACTTATAAAATTAAGAGAAAAGCATTTCTAAAGCATATTTGCTTCCCTTATAAGTACAGGCTCAGCACCAGAGTTGGTGCCTAAGCATCTATGTATTTTTACACTTTCCCAGATTTCTGATGGCCGCCAAAGACTGTGAGCCACTTACCTAAAAGCACCAGTAATGCAAAAACAGTCCTCAGATAGCAATATGATGTATCCTGTGGTACCAAATATATACATTTCTAAGTTTGGATGTAGAGGACATTTTTTCAATATATTTGACTTTTTTTTTTTTTTTTTTTTTTGGATAGTATAACAAGTTCTAAAATGAGTTCAAACAGTGAGATACGTATAGTGTGAAAACACTTATAGTTTTGACTAATGCACTAAAGTGGAACTAAGTACAAGTGAGGAGGAGGGTTGGAGAATAAACTAATGGGGCAGACAAAATAGGGAGGAAAATTAGAAATTAATGAACAGACTTTTAGACCTTCAAGCAAACCTTTGATTAATATGCAAACAGTGGACAGAGGTCTAACTGGGCCCCATTAGGCCTTGAAAAAAATAATTGATGTAAATCGTAAATGTGTTTTTAAAAATTCAGATAATACAGAAACAGATGGAATAAAGCTACAATTTTCGTTCACATACCCTGCCAAAGCGTCCCCGTGTTTGCGTTTAATTATACCCATTCATGCTTTTTTCTGTGCACTTAACCTAAGTGAAAATGTAAAGGGTTTGTTTTGTATATAAATGGGGTTATACTAAAATAAGTAGTGCCTATTTTTAAGATAGGTTAAATTTGTGAATTATTATTTCAAATATATTGAATAAAATAAGACAAAAGCTATTTTTATTTACTGATTCCGTATTTTGTCCTAGAGTTAAAATACTGATGTTAAGAACACAGTTCTACTTACTGCTGATAAAAGATTGTTGTACATATAGGTAAATGAAATGTTTATGTAGCAATAGAAAGGACTTGAGTTGCATACAAAAGAAGGTTTTCTATAAAGTCATTGTTACCAACTCAAATACACCATGAATGCAAGCTGTTAAATATTAAAAAGAATAAGACTAACTGCTCCATACATCCTGACTAGGAAAAAACCTCCAAGCAAAATATGGTGCAAGGTAGTTTATAATATACCACTCTATAGGAAAATATTAAAATACACAAAAGGAGGGCCTCCCCAGTGGCACAGCAGGTGAGCAGCGCACTGTGAAGTGGCCGCAGCCTCTGCAGCGCATGTTCGATTCCCTGCCGGCCAGGGAGAAACCCACATGGCTTGGCAGACCTCTCCTGTCTCGCCTGCTGCTCCCCTCGACACTGTATTTCGTCAGTCTGCCTGTTCTGTTCCCCACTCTGTCTCTGGTGAATCCTCTCACCGTCCTACACATCTGGCCTGTACCCCAGTTCTTGTATAAAATAAATAAATCTTTAAAAAAAAAATACACAAAAGGATTCTCTGGCTTCTGGGAAGACTGTTCAAAGGACAAGGAACAAAAGGAGGCTTAGATACACATTATCTCTTATTTGGCAACTACTTGAAAATCATTTGTTTTCAATAGAGATGATTGTGTTTTACTAGGATAGAGCAGTCTTTATAAAACTGTTCATTAGGTTAACATAAATTTGGACCAGCTTTAAAGTCCAGTCCCTTATCTGTCATTCAGAGCATTGCTTGGTGTCTGGCATGTAGCTTGCCTACCGTATTGGAGGAAGGAATTCACTTGCCACAGAGAAAGTGTAACTGGATAACTGCTGTTGGCTGTAACTTCGTGTATGTGGAGCCCTTACCCCCACACCCAATGCGTGAGCACTCCATGCCTCAGAGGAGAAACAGTTCTGGGTTGGAGGGGCAGAAAGGGCTGAGAAGGCAGCTCCCAGGAAAGGCAGCACCTGTAACGAGAGGCATCAACGGGACAACCCATGTGAAGCAGACTGGCCCTCAGGTTATGAAGTTAAGGTGAGGACCAGGGCAGGATAAACATGGGCAGATTGGAATGGACTTCCCCTGCCTTCATGATTTAGAGGTTTTTTCCCATGTTCAAAGTAGGGATAGAAGAGACGAGCAAAGCCATTTAAAGCAGCAGCTAGAATTATCAAAATTTTGCACTTAGTCCACTATCTTGATCTTGTCAGAGCCTGTCCTATCCACTTAACTCCTGTATTGCTAACTCTGGCTCTTGGGGCCTTTGATACATGGGTAGTTTGTGAGCTTTGTTCACTCACTGAGACTTACCTTGAAAATTAGGATTTTGTGGTATATCAAACAGGCCTTTGCCTCCTCATACGCCATCGAGCAACCCCTTACCAATTATAGGACAGGCAGCGTGTCCAGCCTGCTGGTGGGTCATGACTGGGCTAAAGACCATCATGCCCATCCTCTTCCATGTCTTCCTATTCTCTCTGTGCAGCTGGATGTGGTCATGTGACCCACTCCTGGCCAGTAAGTTGAAAGAAGAATGGGAAGAGAGGCGTACCTTCTGCAAGTTCTTTCCTTAACAAAGGGGTAGTGACTCTGTCCTTACTGGTTGCATCAGCCAAACTGCTTGACCTAGCTCAGGTTCTATTAAATGTACAAAGCAGGCCAAGGACAGTACCTACACCATGGATTATAAATACCACTTGGTTTTTAGCTATACATATTGGAATTATCTTCTGGGTGATTGGGACAAAAAACATGGAAACCATCTTTTTTTAAATTTAAAAATTCTTCAAGATTAATCAAATTAATCAATCTACATGGTTAAACCTAGAACCAAAAAGTCACAAGCAGAATCAAGAGACAAAATTTAGGGGCCTCCCTGGTGACACAAGGGGTTGAGACGCAACCTATGAAGCTATCCGCAGCCTCTGCAGCACGAATTCGATTCCCGGCCAGGAGCCACCCACATGGCGCAGCAGACCTCTCCTGACTCACCCGCTGTTCCCCTCAGCAGTGTATTTCAGTAGATCTGCCTGTTCTGCTCCCCACTGTCTCCGGTGAATCCTCTTACCCCCCCACACCTCTGGCCTGTACCCCAGTTATATGTATAAATAAATCTTTAAAAAAAGAGACAAAATTTAATATATGCACACAGTTTTATATATAATGCAGCATCACACCATGTAGGGCATTTACTCTTATTTTATACATTCAGATATGTTTGAAACACTTCTTAAGGCTACAAAACAGAACATAGAAAAATAAACAGGATTATATTCAACACTTACAAAAAGTGATATGATAAAGAATATAAAGTACTATTTTCCTTTCAACACTTCAAAAGATATGTATAATATACTTTTTTTTACAAGTAACATCACAAATGATCACATCTTCACATGCTTTTAAGTATTATTTGTACTCAGTGTAAGGCTATTATCATTTTCTCATACATAAATTTTTTTCTAGCTCGTAACAATGCAGTTTTTAATCCATTCAAGTAAATTCAACCCCAAAGTTGCTGTTTCCCAGCATTAAGACATGCACCCACCCCTCTTCTAGGATTCTCTAAAACTTATATTTCAGGGGGAAAAAATTCCCAATTAGTGGGAAATCCAATTAGTGGGAGATTAAATGGCTGACACTAGTAGCAAAGCCTTAGTTCTTTGAAACTAACATATAGAACTGAGCCATTAAGATTTTCAACAAAAACATTTTAAATGCTATTTAGACATAAAATAGGGAACAAAATACAGTAAACAGAAATAGTGTAGCCAAATACATTCTCTTTAGCTACACTAAAATGGACCTTGCTTAGTACCCATGTGAAAGACTAGTAAGTTTACCTCATCTGAAACTAAAAAGATAAAATAAGTGAGGCATAAATAAATATTGCTAGTTTCTAGGATGGCTGAATGTTTTCTAAACCAGAAATGGTTAGAAAGGAACTTTATTGCACCAAGTCAATCATAAGCAAGTTTGCAGTTCACAGGCATTTCAAATTCAACCTTGAGTCACAAAGAAAACAACACACTGCAAGATACAAAGTTTGCCTCAAATCAGCTTATCGGCATCGTGGTTTGGGAATGCCGACTCCTGCCAGGTCGTCAAGGCAGGGTGTGAGCACAGGTCGGCTGTGAAAACGAATGTGTGGGTTCCTGGAAAGAGGAGGCCTACACAGATGCCAGCACCCCGCAGCCAACTAGCACTTGGGGCAAGAGCTGAAGGAAGGCTGATCTGAGGAATCGAACCCGAAGACAGAAACATACACAACACTTAAGGGAAAGGTGCAGGAATCACATTTAGCAAAAGCAACTGAATGAAAAGGTGAGCTTTGGTCATTCTAAACGTTTGTTCTTCCAAATGTGTGATCATAGTACAGTGAAGTTTCATTAATTCCCAACTCAAAATGCATACGCTTCTCTCAAGCTTGTTTTCCTCTCAGAAACTTTGTATTTCATCTCAACTTCATGAGTCTGTTCAAATGAAAGAGGACAAAAGCTTGCCTGGCCTAACTGTGACCACAGCATAAGGCAAAAAAAAAAAAAAATCCCTTGAAACTAAAACATCTAAAACAAACACAAAGGGAGGAAAAAAAAGAAACTGACCTTCATGCTAAGTCTGATCATTTTTAAACTAATTATCAAAAGTCAGATCTTTCATCCCAGAGGTCACTGAGTCAAGTACCATCTGCTCAAGTTCTCTCTCAGCACTGTTTCTCTACACCGTGTCTCAGAGGTAAGAGATGGGAAACAGGAGGCAAATCAGTATTTCCTTCAGGAACACGAGTATTCCGCTACTTCATTGAGGTAAGACAGAGACAGTGAAGAAATGAAGAACAGTGTTTTTTCCTATCCAACTTTTTAAACATTTCCAGAAGAAACAGATCAAACCCCAGTCAATAAAATGAAGGACCCTGGAAAAAGCAATTTCTTTTGGACTCCTGAGATCAAACTTCTATGGAACTTTTACATCTGGTAAATTACATCTAAATGTGATTTTTCGTAAGCATTATCAGGCGAGCTAATTCTGCATTGAAAAAAGCACGAGCTGAAAGTGGAGGACCCTTTACCTTCTCGCTCCTTACCTCCTGATGGTAATTAAGGAAAAAATGGCTTGAGCAGTACCTTCCCCACTGTTCCAGCTTAGAAGGTGACAACAGAAATTCCTTTCAACAGGTCAAGAATTTTTCTCTTTTCCACACAACCATCCCAGTCTTTACAAATTTTAGCCTAGCACCATCATAATAAAATGTTATCTTCCAAAGTGCTCTCTAAAATCCTATGTTACAAAACATCTAAACACTAATCACTACTCAAATCAGCAGTCACACAGACGTTAGGTAATTAAAACAGCACAGAGGTAAGTAAGTAACCATCATTATAGTCCAGCAGAGCCCCCGAGCCCTCCAGCGGATCTGAGAACTCCGGAAGCTCATCTACTTCAGTCTGTCAAATTCAAGTGAATTGTTTGCTTTTAAAGTAATCTGCTTTTATTTAAAAAAAAAAAAAAACAACAAACTATTTTGGCTAGGTACATCACACATGGCATGCAGAGGACCACTACGTTCTTTGCATAGCACTCGAACTTCCTGATCAAAAGGTAACAAAAAGGGGGAGATTTTCACGATGGTATGTACAAATAACTAGTCATTTTACAGAATAACACAGAATGCATGAATACTGTGTTAATTTGGAGAGTCGCGTCTCCACGGGAACAGAGTACAACATGCAAAGGGAACTTCTAGCTGAATACTGCGAAGTCAGGAGGGAGAAGCCGAGACACGCCTGTTACCGCAGGGAAACGAGCTAAAAAAAGCAAAGCAAAACCATTTTCTAGCAGCATCCTCTAGAGAAGAACTCGAAGTCACAACCACCTTTTCTTGTCCGACAGTTCCAGCCGTGACACACCGAACATGCAAATGTAAAGTGAGACACAACCCATGGTGCAAGAAGAAAAACGAAACTCACTCTCATAGAAACCTGTCAAGCTAAAAAGTTTTAACGTTTCTTCTCACAAAATATTTAAATCTGTCAGTGCATTAGTGTTAAAGTGGCATTAAAAAACGTCTGCAGTTTTAACAGATGCAGATTATTCTCCAAATGCATAGCATCTACATTTCTCTCAAGTAGGCACCATGATATTTACACCAGTGCTGAGAATTCTGGGTGGAAACAGCCATTTCATTAGATGTCCTATTATTTCTTAAACATCTGTTCTTGTATGCGATCTCAAGTTCAACAAATATTCACCGAAATTCAAAAATATATCCTATGAATATTAAAAGAACTATATACAACATTTCTAAGACACAGGTTGATAGGCTGCCTTAGGTGTCATATTAAAGAGAAGACATCATTCAAGTCTGACAGATACTGAGATGAAAGGCCTTTGGGTTGGAAGCATTTCAAAAGACAGTGTTTTAGGCTGAGAATTGTTTGAGCCCAGTTTATGACTAAGGCATTGCATAATAAAATATACATTTCTATTTGGTGCAATGTTATGTTTTGGAATCTATCGTGTGTCCAATGGTATATTTTCTTGTTAATTTAGTAAACACTAGAAAGCACACATTTCCAACACCTGAAATTAAACTTATATAAGGAAAAAACAAACACTAAATCTATGTTTTATATTAAGCTGTTTATAAAAAATACTTTAACAAACTTATTCTCTACTTTTTATGGGGGCGATCACCCTATAAATAATGAACAGAATCTGAACAGAGGGAGGCGCGACGCCCGGGGCACCCCGACCCCGACTCTCGTCCGCGGTGGGCGGGGCGCCGGGAGGGAGGAGACCCTTGAGGAGGGTTTGATGTCACCATCACCGTCACCATCACCCTTCCAGGCGGCTCAGGGGTGCTGCCCGCGGTGGGCGTCGCCCATGCCCGAGCGCCGGCGGTCCCCGCGGAAAGGGCGCGCGCGGGCGCCGCGCGGGAACGGGGTGTCGTCGCGGCCGCGGCCCGGTGCCCCCTTCCAGGCCTCCTCGCCGCGCGCGTGCGGGAAGCCGCGGCCCGCGCCCCAGTCGCCCTTGAACTTCCTGCCGCCGTAGGCCTGGCTGTAGAACTGCTTGGCCTTGCCGCCGCGCAGGATGCTGCTCACGTCGCCCTCGTCCTCCGAGCTCTCCTCCTTTGGTCGCTGCGCCCTGCCCTCCGCGCTGCCGGGCCCGGGGCCCGCGTCGGCGGCCGCTTTGGGGTCCTTCCTGCTCCCCGGCTTCTCCTTCAGGCTGGGAATGGTCCGTCTGGGCTCCGCGTCCGCCTCTCTGCTGAGGATCTGCGCGGGCGGGTGGGCCTGGCCCTCCGCCCCGGCAGGGAGGGCGGCGCCAGCCGGGTCGGCCTTCGGGGTCTGGGACGCCTGCTCGGCGCGGGCCTCGGGCCTGCGGGGGCCCGGGGCTCGGGATTGCGCCCTCGGCGCCCCGCTGCTCCGCGCACTCGCCGGCCGCCGCGGGCCCGCACTCCCCGGACAGGTGCAGTGTCTCCAGGGGCAGGTCCAGGTCTCCCTTCTCGTCGGCGGGCACCACAAGGTTCTGCCTCAGGACCGGGTTTTCCACGAAGCCCTGGAAGGGGCACCCATACCAGACCGGAGGGAAGAAGGGGGGCGCGATGGGGACCGGGCCCAGGAAGGGGTTGGGGCCGAAGGACGGCGGTGGGAAGAGGCTCTTGCCGCTGAGCGACTCCTCGTATTCAGAGTGGAGAAGCTGCCCCGAGTTTTCCGACTCGAGGTCAGCCTGGTAGGGCAACTGCCCGTGGCCGTCCGACACCTGAGACGGGGGGAGAACCAGCGGCGACGAAAAGGCGGGCGGGCCCATCTCGGCGGCTGGCATCTGCCCGTTGACACCGGCCTGGGTCTGCAGGGGGAAGTGCGCGTCCGTGCAGGCACAGTCACTGTCACTCTGGCCGGAAGGGGCTTCCTGAAACCAAGGATTGTGAGGATACACAGGGACCGGGACCTTGGGGTACATCCTGCAGGCTGCCAGGTAGGCCTGGTGCAGAGGGTACAGGTAAGAATGCGGGGCCCACATAGGACAACTGTAAGCCTAAAAGAGACCAAAACAGGAAGGGGAAGGGGCGTTAGAGGCGCTTGCAAATCTCTCCTACCTGCAGAGACCATATAATCTGCAGGCCAAACACCAGACACCACGACACACAGGATGAAAGGGAATTACTAACAAGTCACTGCCTTAAGACTCCATTCCTTTCTCCTATCCAGACTCCAATCCAAGGTCCGGGGACAGAGCTACATGGGGACCGCACAGTGATCCCACCCAGAGATTACCATGATTAATCCCGTCCTTCGGATATGACTGCATGGAAACAATTTTGGGTGGCGCAGATCTCAACACCAGCATCATCAGGCTCTTGAGCCTCTAGCTTCTACTATCTCAATTGCCTAGCTTAACCTGAGTTCATGACCTCACTCACTGTGTGACCCCATGACAACTAGTTAACCAGCATGAACCCGTTCCGCCAGAAAAAAAGCTGTACAGGAGCAGATGATCTCCAGTTCTAAGAGTTCCCAGAACACCCCAAACACCAGGACTAAAGAGAGGCCATCTCTGGTCAGCCAGGGGGATGCAGTGAGATTCTCTAAACACTTGCCTCTACAAGGAGAATGAGCCCCATTCCACAGGGAAGGCTGGGCTCCACACACTGAGCCGAGTCTGTCACCTAATTCCTCAGGGAGGGCACTTCCAGGAGGCCACCCAGGGATGGGGGTTACATTCTGAATACACCCACAGGGTTAAACTGCCAACAGAAAGGACGAGCAAACAAAAACCAGAGCCTCGACAACCACCAAAAAAACCCAGAGAACTAGAAATGCCAGTTCAGATAATGAGACATAGCAAGTAAACGATAGGTTACTGGCAGGACAAGAGTTAAGGTATTTAAATATCAGTAATTTAACACATTATTAACTTTAAAATGATAAAATGTAAATACCTTTACACCAAGATTGAAGAAGAATCGAAGAATGTTCTTATCTGAAAATAACATAATCATCACTCACTAAAATGATAGAAAAATCATAAAGCTTTTTCCCATTATCTTCAAATAATATCTAAAGACAGTTTTGCTACTGGTTTGTTAGAGTAAAATATTAACACAGTAATATAAACACACCAGGTTCTGTTACTCTGGGACAGGTGCAGCATGTGTTGTCTATGCTAACATCTGAGCCCCTATGTGGCTTATGACTGAGATTTTTATCTGATTAAAATTAAATCTACAAAAAGGAAACTTGGGTATTGATATTTCCTCTTTGACTTCCCTGTAAGGTTTTAAAAATTATGAAATAAAAATGTTGGGGGATAAGGATAAAAGCAATGTAATCCCAACTCCTCCACAGCTGAGGCTAGTGAAGACACGAGTCCAGCTCCCTGCGGACTTAAATGTCAATCACTGACCAACAAGTCTCCACTTAAATCCAGTAAAGAACACAGCTAATTGCATCACTTTCAGTTTTTCTAAAGAAATTTTGAGAAGTAAAAATTCCTTTGGGGGGGGTAAACTTTTAGGAGAATTCTTTATAAGGCAAACACTTGAGTGTGGCGCTACGCTGACCACTACTTTGTATTAGTCATTCTTTGTCCAATTTCTTTCATAGGTGAAGAATGAGGAGTTCAGACCAGTGAAAACTCAGTAATGTTTACTTATCAGGTTAGTGACACTGTCAAGTTTTAAATTTAAAATGGTTTTAAACTATTTCTGAAAAAAATGACACAAGAGGAAGGGCAGTTTAAACATACAAAAGCCGACATTCCATCCAAGTCTGTGAAAGAGGAGCCTTGCTCTGCCCTCCCCCGCCATGGCCTCCACCTGCCTCAGGAACAGGACCGGCCTCCTCTCTTCAGAGAGCTGTACTTGATAGTGACACTGAGCCTGGAGAAGGCACTCACCTTTAGGCAGGTCCTCCCCGGTGGGACACAGTGAATACGGTGGTGCAATGGCTCGATCCCCCTTTTCATTATAAGGAAACCCGGGATAGAGCGGGTCTTGGTAAAGGCTCAGTGTCTGAGGCAAAGGCATCATGGGCTGGTTAACTGCCTGTATCGACACAGGGACTGGAGAGGGCGTCAGATGAGCTTGGGAAACAGCAGAATCGGGTCCACTGGTCAGGGTCTGTGTCACTGACAAAACAGGAATTTGAGCAGGGACACCTACCGAAGAAAGGAAGTAAACGCCATAAAATGGTGAAAATATTTCTCCTCTACAAATGAAAGTTTACGTTAAGCTAAAAAGTACAGAATGTTGTACAACTGACACAGGGAACAAAAGAACATGCACTGAAGCAACCTAAAGTGCTCTTCCTATCAACCAGGGTGTGCCCCCGAGGCGGCGCTCAGGAAACAGCTGGGAGGCGTCTTCTGAGGTACGTGGGACGCAGGGTGGACAAAGGACTGCATGGGGTCTGCCAAGGGCTGGGCCCAGAGGAGGCACCAAGGTGGGGGCCAGTGCAGAGCACCAAAGCAACCAGAGAGATAAGCAAGAGCCAGTCACGGTGTCCTGAGGTTCTGAGGATATACTGCACAGGAATGGCACCCACGGGGCCTCCGCCTGACCCTGCCCGGAGCAGAGCAGCAGAGCAGGGGATCACAAGACACCAGGAGGCTCCACACACCCAGCCCTGCTGAGTCAAATTCTCACTAAGAATCTCAAGTCTCTGACTTGGAAGGCCGTTCGTTGGTTCAGAGGATTTTTAAAATTGTTCTCTAACCTGTTGGTCCAAAAGTTGTAGGTTCACTTGGCCAGGCTGGCACAGTGGCTGGTAAAGAAGGCACCGCAGGGGTTAGGTGTACCTCTGGAGAAACTAGAAGGGGGGCTGGATTCGATGAAGACACGTGTTCTGCTGGCTTCTTCAAGACAAGGGGGCAGAAAACAACAAGGGTTCATTGCACTTAACACTAATTCTAAGCACCTAATGCCTTGAGTTGTCTGCCTTTCATACCACCAAGTTTCTATACAAATGGTCTTTCACAGCCTTAGAAAAAACACAGAAGAAACACATCAATCTGGGCCTCCCTGGTGGCGCAAGGGCTTAAGTCTCAGCACTATGAAGCTATAGGCAGCCACTGCAATAGGACTTTGATACCCAATCAGGGAGCTGACCCACATGGCACACCTGCTGCGCCTTACCCGCGCTGCTCCCCTCAGCCGTGTATTTCAGTCAGTCTGTGTGTTCTGCTCCCCACTCTATATCTCTGGTGATTTAAAATCTTTAAAAAAGATTTATTTATGCATACAAGAACCGGGGTACAGGCCAGATGTACGGGGGTGGGGGGTCAGAGGATTCACGAGAGACAGAATGGGGATCAGAACAGGTGGAATGACTGAAATACACTGCTGAGGGGAGCAGCGGGCAAATCAGGAGAGGTCTGCTGTGTCATGTGGGTAGCTCCCTGGTCCGCGATCGAACTCATGTTGCAGTGGCTGAAGATAGCTTCACAGGTTGCATCTTAACCCCTAGTGCCACCAGGGAGGCCCAAAATAAATCTTTTTAAAAACCACATTATGGGGCCTCCCTGATGGCGCAAGGGGTTAAGATGCAACCTATGAAGCTGTCTGCAGGTGCTGTAGAACGAGTTCAATCCCAGGCCAGGGAGCTACCCCCATGACACAGCAGACCTCTCCCGACTCGCCCGCTGCTCCCCTCAGCAGTGTATTTCAGTACATCTACCTGTTCTGTTCCCCACTCTGTCTCTGGTGAATCCTCTCATAACCCACACCTCTTGCCTGTACCCCAGTTCTTGTATGCATAAATATTTAAAAATAATAAATAAAAACCACATAAATCTGATCCCAGCTTATTCAAAATCATTACGGAATGGCTTTCATGTCCAGAAAACAATTATAAAAATTACATTCCATCAAAACTGAAAACATTCTAGACTATATTCTCCCATTTCCCATACAGATGTTTTCTTTTTGTAAATGACCTTCTAGAGTTAAGACACCCTGAGGGGGGAGCAGTGTCAGATCCAACATCAAACTCACTTGTTCCGCAGGTGGCGGGCACTCTAATTTCTTTGACTTTGACGGTGATGAATCTCTTGCACATTTATCATCGCTAATATTCTTCATAAGCAACAAAAAAAAAAAAAAAAAAAAAAAAAACAAAAAAAGATGTAATTTTGTATTTCAAAGACACCCATTATAAGACAATGGTGGGTGCCTTTATAGTTCACCCCAGCAGGTCCCAACTGTGCCCTCTCTCTGCTATTTCTATTTTACTTTCTCAATCTGGTCCTCAAGAGGTAGGCTCCTGTGCTTGCACATCTTGATTTGGGCAGTTTTTTACAGGGGACAATGGAAACATGGTTTCAAGACAGACTTGTCCTTAAAACATTTCAATCTAGGGCCTCCCCTGGTGGTGCAGGAGGTTGAGCGCAGCGCTGTAAAGCTGTGCGCAGCCTCTGTGCTGGCGAGGGTCCCACATGGCGCAGCAGACCTCTCCTGTTGTGCCCACTGCTCCCCTCAGCAGTTTATTTCGGTCAGTCTGCCTCTTCTGTTCCCCGCTCTGTCTCTGGTGAATCCTCTCCCCCTCCCGCGCATCCGGCCTGTACCCCAGCTCTTGTATGCATGAATAAATAAATCTTTAAAAAAAATTTTCTATCTACTACAGAGTATGGAGAATAAAAGCTATTTCACTAATCAGAGAAGGTATCAAATCGTACCTTGAAGACACGGTTCTAATCTGTGAGTAAATTCTCCACAATCACAATCTCTTTTCCCCATTTTTTTCTCTGCTTTTCTGCTTCCTAACATATAACTAAAAAATGACGGAATCATGTCCATCTGCTCCTTGCAGTTCCTCCTGCCGTGCTAGCCCCGTGCTAAGGAGAAAGGAAATGCTAAGTACTTCAAACTCTTACCTCCAATGTGCTTGGCTCGGGTTTTCTATCCAAGTGAACATGTCCATGGAGCGAGTCTGTAACGAGTCATGATAAAAAACAGCATCAGTCACCAGTCAGGGTGGAACACAGAAGAATAAATGAAGACAGAGAAGGTCAAAAGTGCTACTGAGCCACGTTTAGTCAGTGAAGACTGCAGTTTTCAAAATAACATTTAATGTGTTTTAGCGTGCGTCCGTGTTTCTTTGCAACATCGAGATATGTCACTAAACTGCTTCAAGACTTTTGAAAGGTTCCTTTCCAATGGAGGACTTTAAATCAAACACAGGCCTCCAGCATCTGCTTTGCAGTGAAGTAACAGACCTTTATCTTTTCTTTCTTCAGTCTCCACTCTCCGCCTGCTTCCTTTCCTATCACTTGCATGTGATGATTTTCTCTGGATGGATGGGTTGCTACTCTGAGAGGCAGGCTGACTGACAGAGGAGCTCTTAAAATGAAAAGAAAAAAAAAAGTGTGTTAAGATACTCCCACAAAATACATGAACAAAAGTCTTATAATCAACCGTATTCTTCATACATCTGACTGAAAAGAAAATCTCAAAATTTCATAACCTTATATTCTTTATACTTCCCAAATTAAACCAAAAGGGGGAAATGGGGGGGGGGGGCTAAAGGTTCTTATTTAATGATATTCTACAGTAATAGGCTTACTAAAAATGTATTCAGCAATCAATCTATGGATTAAAGCAGTAGTTAGACTTTGTCATGACCCCATTCAGGAGTCCCCATGAGCAAACCCTGACGTTGTAACTTACATTCTTTGCAGAGACCCTCCAGGCAGGCATGCAGAACTTTATCTTTTGTGGGGGAAAAATCCCAAATCAACAGTTAACAGTGCACAACAGGGTGTTATCCCAGAGGTGCTACTGTCAGCGAATGACTCAAACTCTCCTCCTAAGGGTCTTGTGAAACAAAGAGGCTGAAGCAAATCAGCTTAAAAAGCTGATACTTCCACATCCTATGTAAGTGTTCCACACAGCTCAAGTTTTATAGAAGGCAAGTCTGAGTCACTATGAAACCCAAGATGGGCTCAAACTACCCAGCCTAAAAATAATGAATATGAAGACCCATTTTAATTAAAAAAAAAAAAAAAAATGCAATCTGTTCCCACATGAAGTAGTGGTATTTTATTCACTCACTAACTGAAAAAAGGTCCAAAAGTTATAAGCCTAAGTGATTATGTAGTTTGTCACATAGATGTTAAGGAAAAACAACATGGCATGACAGACAAATGCACTTAGCATACAGACCACATGTAATTCAAATGTGGATATGGAATAATAGATATTCTTCCAGTAATTCCTGAGCCCCAACCCCTAGTACCAGACAATGATGACCTGGTACCAGGTCAGCTGTTTTCAACTGAGCATGTCAGACCTTCAAAGGATTCCAGGAGATTGAGTGTGTGGTGCCTGCCCGGTTTATACAGGTATGGTGGGCAGGCGCTTATACTATGTTTTTTTCCCACTGTTGGGAAAAGTGCTCAACCACCATTATGGATCAGTTATTTGGGGACCACTTACCAATATTTTAAAGACTGTAGTCATAGAGTTCCCAATGCCCCCAGAATGAACTCATTACCCTCCCCCATGCAGCCCGTGAGCCTTGTCAGAAAATTTACTTCACTCTACTTGAGAACTGGTTTCCCTTCTGGTTCTCCCAAAGGAATGAGGAAATCTGAAGGTAGAGAACATTTCTCTCATCAGGGAAGAATCTGTATAGCCTGGAGCTGACCATGTCGAGCAAGGACACAGGGCACACTGGCAGGCACTGCACCTCCCACAGCGGTACCCATGCTGCCCGTGGGCTGTGCCAGGCTCTGCTACATTACCGAGGAGCTCTGAAGGGTCTTCTTATTCCACAAGTAGAGTTTGGTAAATGAATTCTGAACCTCTACTGCACATAACTTTGACAAGCAAAAAATAAATGTTTTGATTCGAAAGAAAATACTGAATCAAACTCACACTGAGCTAACTAATTTAATCACCTCTCTTGACACCAGTTAGTCTTATCTTCAGATCTCTTCTTTCTCAAGGAAATGTGAAAAGGAGGGGGGCAGACATGATTGCTAAGTACCTTTCAGTATAAAAATTGTGTATCCACCATTAGCAACTATAGTCAATATAGAAACTGAAATAAGCAGAAACTGCCCCAATAGTGACTTGTCAAATCAGCCTGTACATACGGAAAGGGCTGGGAAAGCCTGTTCGTCTCTGTTCTGAATCTCGTAGAGCAAGCGAGATTCTTCTATAGCTTGCTTCTCTCTTCGCTCCTCTGGGGAGAGGCCAAAATAGTTAGATTCTCGACTCGTGTGATCAAAATCCTCAGCTCTCTCACGATCAGATTTTCTGTTAAATAAAACATTCTTGTCATGAAAAAACAAAAGACAAAATGCATTGAGTACCTAAAATGCCCTGTTTTTTACTGATTTAGAAGTTCCTGTACATTAGGCTACATTAAAGTCAAGAGGACAACCTATAATTTGGGGGTCCTGAGAGGGCGACGGCAGTGATGCAGGATACAACTTACTTTCATGTGATACAGAAATAATGTTTTTTTTTTTCTTTTTATCAGGACAGAAATGTAAGCACTGTATTCTTCATACCATATTCTAATATCATTAAGAATTCACTCTCAAAAAAGAAAGGGCAAGTTACTAGTTTAGGTCTCAAAATCACTGTCTGTCCGAGTAATGAAGAAAAGGGCAACAAGCAAAGGAGACAGTGGAACACGCTCCTGCTCATTCCTGACACGACCTGGGGACCAAGGGCCGGCAGCAGGGTCACCAACAGCACAGATAAAATTTCTGTCATCTTAGTAAAATTATGGTGAAGGAGAAAGACAAGAAATTCATTAGCACTGCAGTAGCCTGTAAGTCTAATGTTTTTATATGTTTTATAATTATTACAGGAAATATGAATACAACTTTCACCCTTATCTAACATTTCCACAACACTGGAAAACAGACCCACAACCTATAGGAAATACACGCTGTCACACCGTGAGGGGATATAATCATCATGACAGGACACGAGGACACTGAGGCCATCTGGTTGGGCTTTTTAACCTCTAAAATTGAGAAAAGCCATTTCTCCTCACCGTGCCCCACTTAAAATTACACCCTAACTTCAAAAGGACAGATGTCAAGCCCAATAGTACTGGAGAAAACAGCAGGGAAGCAACCCTGAACCCCCACAATCTTAGCACAGTCCTCATAATCCAGGGGTGGGGGAACCCAAAGAGGTACCAGGCACCTCTGGATCGTCAGCACCCCCTTAAGTAACACTGCAGCCCATCCACCATCCCCAAAATCCATCTTTTCCTCACCTACCCCACAGAGAGAACCAGCCCCCCTTGCAATCTACTCCCAGCGGGAGAAGAGGTGCTCAGGAAGACACCCAAGCATTCCAGCACCTGCACTGCACAGCAAGGTGCACGCTGCAACCCCTGCTCAGCTTTGTGACATTTTATTTTCTCCAAAGGGAAAACCAAAGACATCAAAGAGGAAGAACTGAAAAGTTGAGAAGTTATGAAGCTTTCCTGCCCAGTACTACAGTTCTCTTTTATTCTATAACTAGAAGAATTCAAAACGTATGTTAAATATCCAAATAAAGATAAACGCTAAGAGTTGAACCAATGTTGGCTATAAAATTCTAAACTAACTAGATTTAAGCAAATCTTACTTGAAATACTCAATCTTTAGTAGTCTTAAATTCATTTCAATATCCTCTTTAAAACGACATACTCTATTATTCACTCTCAAGCCTACGGACATAAACTCCAACTCCCATGGGGCTCCTACACCAACAGTCGCAAAGTCACAAACTATCCTGAGCTTGATGTGTGTGTATCAGCCACTGCCCCCTGCCACCAGGTGCTTTTACAGATGAGTTACATGGAGTTAACAAAGAAAAGGATCCTCATCGGAACAGTCTACCAACTACCAACTCCTGGAAGGCTGCAGACAACCAAAAACACATCAGATAAAAATTCAGTCTATGGTGAGCAAAAGTATGTTTAAATGAGCAGCTTAGTGCCCCATGTTTTATTTTTTAATCCCGTAGACACTAAAAAGGATCCTGGTATTCAAGGGGAAAAAATATTTTTAGTCTACTTAAAAAATTATTAAAGAATAAAAAAAAAATCTCATTTCTGCTTCTTACCTTCCTAAAGTTAAGTCCTAGTTTTTGGGTTACCCAAGCTAATAGTCAAAAGAATCGATTCCTCCCCACTCCTTTGTCTGCACTGGATATCACCAGATGAGAGTTTGGTCAAAAACAACAGACTTTAGTCACAACCATCATTTAGTGACACACACTTACATAGGTTGGACAGGTAACCACCACGGTCCCCAATGTCCCTGCACGTTACTGGGTATGCTGAGAACACAGGACCAAACCCCAAAGTCTTGGGGTTGTGCTCGCAGTGACCAACCTTGAAGGGCAAGGTAATTAATACTTGTCATTTGACTAATTTTTCATCATTTGCTCTCATTAGACCTTCTGGGAAAGTGGACCATGAGTATCTGTGCATATATAAAGCATCCCTGCAAGGAGGCAGCAGATGCTGTAAGCAGTGGACACCTCTGCAGAAGGAAGCTAGACCCCTGGGACAGGAAGCAGAATTAGCAGTACATCAACCTTTTGAATGTTTTGATTCTGAATATGGAATTAATTTCCTATCCTTAATAATTTTGTAAACTACAAGAAATTAAATGGATCTGGAGTATTTAGAATTTGTTATGAACCGACCGGTGTCTCCCAAAATGATGTGCTTTAGTGTGTGTGACTTTCCTTACAGTCTTTGCAGAAAAGATCAAGAGGAGGTCACTCCAGAGCAGGTTGGGCCCTACACCCCATACGGCTGGCATCCTTATTAGCAGAGCCAGATAAGACCAACAGGGAGAACACCATGTGGTGATGGAGGCAAAGACCAGCCTGATGTACTGCCGAGCCAAGGGATGTGTGGGATTTAGGGCAACATGGGGAGGAGAGAGGCAGGAACAAGCTTCTCCCTGAGAGCCCTCAGAGTAGGGCCCTGATGACACCCTGAATTCAGACATTTAACCTCCAGCACTGTAAGAGGAAATTCCTGTTGTAAAGTACCTAAATTAAGGCTGTCTTAACCTCTAAGATTACTGTGATTTCTTTAAAAAGACTTGTAAAGAACTGAATCCTCATGAGGTATTTTATCAATACCTTCACTACTATGCTATAGCCAAGTGCATGAACAAAAAAATCTACTTAAGAGCGCAATGGAAAAAATGGCCGAACTTCACCTCCAGTTCCCCTACATTTATTGAGGCAGGTTACCTTGCAATCTGGGTGGGTGTCCTGCTAAGACCTTTGTGCTCACTGGAGGGTTTCTGAGCCTGTGGCCCTGCCGGGTGGCTGGGAAACACATGCTGTCTCACTCCCGAAGGATGCTGGAGTCGAGGAGGTAGTGCTGATGGGGCTTTTACTGGCTTGCTTGAATTCTTTGGCCCTCTGTAATCCATGTCTGTGACAAGAAGCCAAAAAGACCTTATAATTTTCCTATTATCGATGACCCCAGGTACATCAGCACTCCCCCAGACCCCAGGTACCATCAGCACTCCCCCAAAGAAAGAATAACATGATATGCTCCTACCAGAATGGAAATTTTGTCCAGAAGAAGGTTTTTTCATCTTCTTCCCTGAAACTGTGTTCCAGCTTTCAGTTGGGGGTGTTTTGAGGTTCTTCGGTGAATGTCTTCAAAAGGAAAAAAAAAAGATTTGGAATAATCAAAGTACTCATAAGAGCAAGAGTTATCAACTCAAACATTGTGCATACGTATTTTATTTTCAACTTGTGTTAAGAAAATCTCCAGTTTTAGTTATTATAGTTAAAACAAAAGCAGAAAATTTAGCAATCCAGATGCAATTCTAAATCAAATAAGAGAACATAAATCAAAAAGCATATTTTCTAATCTAAAAAAACCCAGAAAACTAAAGGCCTTAACTACTGATACAATCTAAGCAAAAGATAAAGGAAATGACTACTGTTGTCATATATGAGATGATACTGATGATGTAAGGGGAGGGAGGCGCTCCCACCTTTAGGGACACACAGAAGCAGCACCTATGGGAGACTCGCTGTCAAATGTGAGATACGCTGTGAGCTTTTCCAATCCCATTCCTCGTCTTTTAAGTGATTTAAGGATAAAAGATTAGAAGAGACTGCAGAAGTGGGGAGAAGGCTGCCCTGGGGCTCGCTGTACTCCTCTCCTCACACTGCACAGGTCTGAAAAGTCTCCAGAGCAGAGTTTAGGGACGACTTACTACCTTTTCTCCAATAAAGGAAATGGCAACTGAAACTTAGCGACAATCTTAACATCTCACTACCCCATTGACAAACATCTACGAGAACCAACTACATGCAAGGCAGCACTAGCCAAAGGGAGTGACTATGGCCCTGCTCTCCAAAGCCCCACCTCACTAGTGTCAACTTCCCAAACTATCTCTGGGAAGAAAAGTACACGTTGAAGAGTGACAGAAAGTACTTTTAAGGGCCTCCCTGATGGCGCAAGGGGTTAAGCACAGCACTATGAGGGTTAAGCACCGCACTATAAGGCAAGCTGAAGCCTCTGCAGCACGAGTTCGATCCCCCAGCCGGCCAGGGAGCAACCCACATGGCACAGCGGACCTCTCCTGACTCGCCCACTGCTCCCCTTAGCAGTGTATTCCAGTCAATCTGCCTATTCTGCTTCCCACTGTCTCTGGTGAACTCTCTCACCCCTGCATCTCTGGCCTGTACCCCAGCTCTTGTATGCATAAATAAATAAATTTTAAAAAAAAAAGTACGTACTTTTAAATAAAACATGAAACACTGTATTTGAATTCTATTTATTCAAAGGATCTAAACAAGTATTATCTACACACAAGCAACCCTTTTAAATGAATGTGCAAACAAACAGGCCCACTAGAAATGCTCACGATAGCATAAGCTGACAGCCAAGCAGTGGCTAATGCCTTAGCTGGAGTAGCAGCACATACTTCTTTCCAAGTTCTTCTGCCAACACTGGTCCATTCTCAGAGTGAGCCCCTTGAAAGTCTGCATTAGAAAGTTTTGCATTGTGATCCAATCTGACCTGCTGAGCAATTTCAGGGGGGATAAAAAAAATCAGTCACCTGCTTCCCTTGCATTAATAATGACTTTTTAAATTGTTAATGTATGCCAAAGTTCAAAAGGGTATATAGTATCTGTCTCTCTGACCTCCCGGAGAGGCAGGGCAAACCCTGGATTTAGTTTTCTCTTGCTCTCTTACAAGTCTTCCAAATCACTGACAATTCTGTCCTGCAACTAGAACCCAATTCTGACAATGCCGAGAGGAATAATGAATCATGTCCTACTTCCTCTCCTTTCAAAGACCCCAGAATCAGAACTATTCAAAGGTCTAGAGATCAAGTCAGTCACAGATGCCCAGAAAACATCCTGGTGAGTCACATTTTTCACAAACCATTTGATCACAAATAAAATGATTGTTTCCTCCACAAGTCAAGAAAAGTGACCATCAATGGCTATATTAAGGCAGTTTTTAAAATGTAACACTTTTTGATGAAAACCCATTTTTTATATGAATTATCTTCTAAATTACAACATTTTTGTATACTGAGTGGTTTTGTTTTGGAAATATTTTTTCATAAACAGAGAACAGAAAAAGGAAGCTGGGACATTAGCTTCTGCAGCCGTGACGGTACTGACCCTCAGACCAGAGAGGCCCCCAGGGCATGGAGGGCAGCTGTGCACTACAGGGTGGCCCGCAGCATCCCTGGGCTCTACCCACAAAAGGGCAGTAAGCACCTGGTCAGCTGTGACAACAGAGTATTTCTGCAGACACTGCTAATGAGGGCATGCATGGGATGGGGAGTAGAAAATCACTCCAAGTTAAGAAACAGTAATGGAATCTAACTTCCCTCTTTAGCACTAAGGCAGCTACTGGGGCCCAGAGCAGTTGCTCACTCAAAGTACACACAAAACTGCTTCTTTATTCTTCACTCTCCCTCAGTGAGAAAAAATAATATATATCAAGAACTTCCAGGGTGGCTTTCAAAAACAAAACTTACCCAGCTTGTCAAGTTTGAATCAATTTAAGTAAATCATTTGCCAATTGTCATGAAAACATCGGATCTAAAATGTTATTGCCACTTCCTTGAAGCAGGTAGTTCCAAAGACTGACTTGTTTTTAAAGATCATGTGATGAGATGCCCTAGTTTTTAGATATATGTATTCCAAATGGGTCAAAAAGCTAAATATTTTTAACACTAAAATGTACACATGATAAAATATATTCTGAAATCTAAAATTAACAACAATGAAATTGAGCTGAGTGTTCCTGGTTCTTACTGGAATGAAGAGCTCCAATTAAAACCTCTTTTCCTCTGCACAAATGACTTACGTGGCATTTCTCTGCAACTTCGTACTGCAAGCCGGCCGCGATGGAATGATCTCGCTTCTGCTGGGCTATAAAGAGGACAACGAGAAGGTGATTCCATCATTCTCAAGTACCACACAGCACTGATGGGAAATGCAGATCTATGACTCACCTTGTTTAGACTTCAGCCAGATTTCATACTCCACATTTCTATACACTGCTGGACTGAGTGACTTAAGAACCTTTCTAGGCAAAGGCAGGCCGTGAGTGCTCCCGTTGCTGTTCGATTGCTAACAAACAAAGCCAGGAAGCAGGATCAGCACAAAAGTGTCTTAACATGTTGACTTGAGATACATATAATAGAAAATGAGTAACACTTCAAAAGTTAGGAAGTCACCAACAAATTCACTAAATGACCTTGACTCCATGAAAATGTATCAAGGGAAAAAAAGTACCAGAAAAAGAGAAAAAAAACTTAAGATTTTAAATTCACATACTTTTTTTTTTTAAGATTCATTTATTTTTATACAAGAACTGGGGTATAGGCCAGAGGTGCAGGAGGGTAAGAGGATTCACCAGAAACAGAGCGGGGAGCATAACAGGCAGAGCAACTAAAACACACTGCTGAGGGGAGCAGCAGGCGAGACAGGAGAGGTCTGCCGCGTCATGTGGGACTCTCCCTGGCTGGCCGGGAATCAAAACCAGTGCGGCAGAAGCTGCGGATAGCTTCACAGTGCTGCGCTCAACCCACAGCACCACCGGGGAGGCACAAAATTCACATAACTTCTTATGTTGAAGAGCTAGCAAAACCCATTTTTAAACTATTACCTGATCACTTGACAACGCTTTAAGTCCATTCACATCATTAGTAGTGGTGATTTTACTCCTACAAAGGAATAAATATAATTAAGAACACAAAAATGTGTTTGGCATGCAGTTAACTTATTCTAACCTCACATAAAAACTCAAGTCAGTTATATTCCAAAAAGTCAAAGACACATTCCACACAAGCTTGAATGACACAAGTGTGAGTGCACATGTGTAAATCTGTGTGTGTGTATGTGTAAACATACATGATTAGTCTAAGACTTGACAGTATTCTTACTGGCTCAATTGTCAAGAAAGATTGTACATCCAAATGTATAATCCACTGAGAGCAAATACAAACTAAGTTATCAGCATGTTTATTGTTGGTAAGTGTTGTGGGAAGAAAAACGGGGGAGATAATAAAAAGTTGGATGAGAAAAGAGCCTGCTGAGAAGATGTCTTTTTGAATAAAAAAATGAGTGATGATGAGACAGCAAGCCATACGGCTACTTGTCATTCCAGGCTGAGGAGACATCATGTGCAAAGACCGGGGTGGCCACGAGACTGGAATTCAGTGCTAACAGGGACATGAGGTAAGAGGCGGCCTTGTGTTCTCCATCCCACAATCCCTCATTAGTAAATAGATCATCAGCCTTCAGGACAATCTCCAAGTTTATACCTTGAATTGCAGCAAATATATAAAGTCCTGACATAAAAAAGCACCTATAATTCCCAACAATTCAGGATTGACCAATAAGAATGACAGTCTTTCTCCTCACCACACTATGCCTTCCACCCTACCGGAGCTATGCAACATTTTCCCCTAACTGAAGACTTGTCCTCTCTGAGCCAAGACATAACACAAATGAAAACAAATCTTAATTATGCAATGAAAAGTCAGTTTAAAAGATTTCCGTATCACAAGGGCCATATACAACAGTATAGCAGAAAAAGCAGCACTGACATGATAGCCAGCCTATCTCCCCTGGGGAACTCTCACGACCCCTACTCTGTACTTCACCTGCCACTGCCACTCCAGATGTACAACCTGCTGCTGATACCATCAACAGCAGCAGCAACTGAAGTGCACGTGGTGGGTGCCCAAGTCCCTCTGCACCAACACAGGTGCTAAGTCCTAACCAGCTCGTCACTCTCACTTCACAGACAGGTACCAGGGAAGCAAAATTCTGTCTACGCCAAGTCAGTGTATTCTAGGAGTAACTAACTGTATGACAGCAAATGAATCTGACCTGACTCATTTGTTCCCTAGAAATTCCTTAGAAAGAAATGGCAGCAAAGCAAATTTTCAAACGGGCTCAGAAAATTTTAATTCAACAGATGCCTGGAACTATAGATTAAAGAAGGTTTTTTTAAGCAGTCAATAAAGAATTAGATAATATCCTAAGGCTTTATTTTTTTCCCCTAGTTTCACCGTATCTAACACCAAGTAGAATACTTTCACATGAGGAATAATAAACTTCTGGCTTCATTCAGTGGGAAAGTATGGAGTTGGTTCTTAAAAAAACAAAGTAAACTCCGTAATATTGATGAACATGACTATTGAATGACTGAATGTATGTCTGATATGGTACCTACAAACTACCTTAAGCAGTTTAAAGAAAAACACACCTCAGACACTCAAAAGGTGCTGTCCACACACTATGCCCCCCACTCGGGAATTTTTATTATCTCAAAAGAAAAACAGGTGACATTATCTAAGGAAGAAAATAATAGTCAAGGCAATCAGAATGGCCACTTTTTTCAATCACCAAACAGATGAACAATTGATGAATTAAATCTGACTCATGAAATCTATCCTACCGACACGCATCTATACATTGCAGAGGAACAGATTCCTCATCAACAAAAAACATGGATTTTCAAGAATTCCAGTTTCTAGAAGAAACTAGGTAAAATCAGTGACAGAGATAAAGAAACTGCTACTGGAGATTGCTATATTTTAGGAATATCATATTACCTCAGTATGTGAGACAACTCCATGCAGAATATTTATAGAACTATTCCTTTGTATGGCATTAGTAACGCATTTTAGGACTTAAGTTCTTACTTGCAACTGTCATCTTCCGAGTCTGATATTTCACTGCTGTTTTCATCAGCTACTTCAGACGAGTCTAGTCCCATCAAGATTTTACTAACATCAGTTTTAAATACCTTTTCATATAGCAGTTCATAAAGGAGAGCTGCAATTAACAAAAGAGAGGTTAGGCAAAACTGACTACAGGTACTTTTAAAACAGGAAGAGATCACAGAAATGGGACTATTTCCCAGGCTTCTAAAATCCTACCTACAAACATCTTATGGTCAATAATTTGGTCAGAAAGCTACAGACAGTAACTAAAACTTATGCGCTAATTCTGAAATCCTAAGCTATGCCTTTCTGAAAACAAACAACACACAAAGGTGTCCCAACTGGGAAACAAACGCGCAGAGAACAAAGGCCCCAAACTGTGCCAATGCCCACATCTGTTCAAGCCCAGCACAGCAAAGCCCCTTACTCTGGATGCACAGGTGAGGGATCATGACTCTGAGATGTCAGACAAGCGCCCAACTTTCAGAAAACTTTAAGAAACCTTGAAATAGCCAGAAAAGATATTAGCTTTCCTTGTGGGGCTAGAAAGAACTTACAAAAACATACTACACATGGAATTCGGACTCTCCTTTGGTTTTATTTTTAATGATAAGACCACTAAGAATTTATTCACAGTGGGTACCCACCCATCAATGCGTCCCCAAAGAGACAACCTCCTCACAGGGTCTCTCTCTCATACCCCATATTCTGTTCAGGCCACAGACAGAGCTCGCAGGCAACACAGGCTCCATGGGCGAGCCCCCCAAAGCTAAAATGTTCACACTCTGACTGGCAAAGGTGGGGGGGGGGGGCACACAACCTAGGAGATGTGATGCCAGATTTTCATTATCTCAAAACAGAACAATTTTTGTTTTAATTTGCATTTTCTTGGCTGGTTGCCACAGTTTAAGAATAGGGGAAAAATCTTTTATATACACTGATAATTTGTAGGAGTGGCAGGTATGTGGTCGAAATAGATGATGGAGATAAAGATGGGAAGGAACTACTAGAGCAGTAATACTCATTAGCTTTATAATCCTAGGAGATTTTATCCTTCCATGAAATATTTGGCAAGTCCTGCAGACATTTCCGGTTGTCACGATGGTGGGGAGAAGGGACTAGTGCCAACTGCGGGAAAGCCAGGGACACTACTAGCCCTCGCCAATGCTCACACCAGCCCCACAGCCACCAGGTTAAGAAAGTCGGCTCTGGAGCCAGACCAGCATATGCTCAGTGAACAGTCACATTTGCAAGTTACACCAATGGCTTTTTAAACAAACACAAACCCTTATTACTGAAATTAATTATCGAGGAAAGAAATACTTGGTATTTTAAAAATCTAACTCAACCTTACTATCTGCTTTTTTTTCTAAACTGTAACAAATTAATATTATAGAGACAAGATTCTTGGTAATCTAAGGTTCTTAGAAATTCTTTCATATGCAACAGAATAAAATATATCTGCCCTTACTTGTTTACATTAAGACTGCAAAGCCTAGAAATAGAATCTCCTATGACAGACACAGGCAGATACTTACACTGACACACAGCAGAGCTCTCTTTATACTTTATGGGATAGACAATATCATAATGATTTCCATTTGAAAAACACAGTAATACCTGAAAGGGAAAAAAAAATCCTTTTCATCCCCTCATATGACATTTACATAGCAACTTGCTCTCCAATAGCTCTAAATTACTAGTATAATTTTTCCCAATAGAAGTATTTTAAAAGAAACTTAAGGTTCCAACGTGGCCAATTAAGGTACATCCACATGTTGTAATGTTACCAACCCACTAAGTCAGAAAATTCTCAAGGACTTAGGGGAAATACATACAAGATCACAGATAACACAAAGTATATGAAGCAATATTACAATGACTGAAAGAACTAGAGCTAAAATCTGTAAGAAAATATTCCAAAACCTTATTAACGCTTATCTCTGTAAGGCAAAATAATCAAAAGTAAATTTTTTTCTGACATACAGATTTACGTATTCTTCAAATAGTCAATTATTCACACAAAAAGAAACTAATTCCAAACTTTGTATATTCCAAACTTTGCAGCAAAAAGGCCAGATCCAAAGCCAAGCACCCTAGAAACCCACACACCCTTACTATGAAGAGTGTGTCTCCCTCACCTCCCCAGCCTCACACCACCAGAAGCAAGCTGGCCAAGACACTTCAGACAGCAAATTATAACAAAGTTTTCTTATAACGAAATAGCTGAGTTTTTTCTCCTTTTTAGGCATCACAACTTTGTAGTTTCTGCTTTTCGACTAGATAATGTACTTACTTAGTAAATTATCTTTATAATGGGAAATATAATTACCAAAGTATTTCTAGATGAAATAGCGGAAACAACTGTACTATGTTTATACTGACACAAAACAGTAGAAGTCCAGTTCCTATACAATAGTATGTCTTATTTTCCCTCTAGTGAAATGTTGTAAGGTTTGACACAGTAATTTGTACACAAAACGAATACAAAATAATTACTCTATGACTAACTTAAAAAAAAACCTGGTATTATAACTATTAGACAACTATTCCAAGTCACTCAAAAATCATAGCTCAAGGTTGGCAAAAGAATGGCTGGCTCTTTTTCGTAAATCCTTTGGAAGTACTTAGAAAAATGCTTACCTTTTCAGGAAAATTATTTTCAGTTACTTGTGAAGGAGAAACATTTGGTTCCCGATAAATTACAAAATCTTTCCTGAAAATAACATTTTGGAAATTACTCTTGATGGAATATGTTTTATGAATTAAGATTTAATCACTCATTTGGTCATTCACTCATACAGTCCAGAACCTCATGTGCCAGGCAACGTTGTAGGCAATGGAGTTACAGCATTAAGCAAAACTTAACAATGAAATAACAAAGTTGTAAAATACCTACATAAAAGTAACTTTTTTAAAAAACTGTATAGGAATAATTTGCTTAAGAGTAACTTGAAAGGAGTTACTCTTAATTAGTTCTAAAAGGAGACCTCAAAATCACAAAAAATTGTTTAGGTGGAATTTATAAAGAAATTTCCAAATTAAAAAAGCATTTGCCTGCTCCTCTATCAGGCAAAAGCAGCAGAACAGGTACTATGTACCTTGGCCTCTGTTCCAGTGGTCATTCAAGGCCACCAGTCTGAGAAATTTCTCCATGCGGTTTTCAGAATATAGTTTATAAGCGTGGAAAAATTTCTCCAAAAATATCGAAAACTGAAATTTCTCAGTCTTAATAAAAATGTCAAAATTTAATTGATGTAATTAAAAGAAATCAAAACCTTAGGAAAAATGCTTTACAGCTAAGGTATAAAATTACTTTGCTATTTTAACCATTTTAATATAGAAATTCCCATATTTTAAATTCACTTATGTTACTACAGTGTTTACCTGTACATGAGAGAAAGGGCACTTATTTCCACTTGTCCAACCCATTCCTGTATTGAAAAGAAACAAGTGGGCACATTAAATGTCTAATTCCTCTTCCAGGACAGATACCTCTATACAACACTGAAGAGATGCCTTCATATCATGCTTAATGAGCTAGAAAAACATTTCCATCAAACAGGCTCTCGTATACTAAAACGCAGCCCAAGTCTCCGCTGCAGAAACCCTAAGGGAGTAAATGCCAGTCCACGCCGAGACCCCACTGAAGGGGAAGGACTGCGGCCTCCAAGTTAGCACCCAGAACAGAGCCTGGCACACAGCAGGTGCCCAGACACGAGATGCTGTGCACAAGCAAGCACAACCCGGGGAACAGAAAGGAGGAAAAAGGTCAAAGAATTCGCATCTCCACAAAGGAAGGGAGAGCGCGGGGCGCCAGCAGCCGTGCTGAAAGGTGAGCAGGAACGCGTGCAAGTTCCAGGAACACCCGCAAGTCTTCAGAAGGAAAGGGCCAGCAGCACGTGCCAAACTTTCCATCTTCACGTATTCTCTGGGCCAGCGCTATTTAACTTCTGTAACTCCATCCTCAAAAAGTGTTTCATATGCACACGAAAGTATAGATCGCCAAAGAGGTTCACTGTAGCCATTTATAAGTTTAATTAAAAATTTTTAAAGACAGCCCTAAGAGTCTAACAAAGGAATAATTAGATCACAGTCAACCCACCCGGGACCCACCACCATGCAACCACTGCAGACAGTGAGGACGACCCGCATGAACTGACTTCGCAGGAGCACTCACACTATGAAGGTGAAAGTCAAGTCCTGGTGGCGCAAGGGGTTAAGTCTCAGCACTATCAAGCTATCAGCAGCCACTGCAGCACGAGTTCGATCCCCGGCCAGGGAGCTACCCACATGGTGCAAACCCTCCTGTCTCCCTGTTGCTCCCCTCAGCAGTGGATTTCGGTACATCAGCCTGTTCTGCTCCCCACTCTGTCTCTGGTGAATCCTCTCATCACTCCTCCCCCCTGCACCTCTGGCCTACACCCCAGCTGTCATATGCATAAATAAATAAAATAAATCTTAAAAAAGTAAAATTAATCCTGTCTGTATAAACAGACAAAAGGTATGCTTCACATGCATGTGCACCAGGAAGGGAACCAGACAGAGGCTGCGTCCCAAACTGACAGTGGAGACAGGGAATTTCCACTGAGGGAAATTAAAGGATTTTTACTTTCATTCTGCAGTAAATCTTTCACATCTATTCCCACACTACTTGAGAAATTAGTTAAGACTTAAGGCCAACAGTCACGAAAAATAACAAGGACAAATTATTGTTGTCACTTTTCCCTTAAAAGAAATGTGAGATGACAGATCCCAGGACAAATGTCTCAATCTCAGAAAATGATTATTTGTTCCCCTGGGAGTTTCCATATTAATAGTTCTTAAAAGTTGGGTCCGGTTTTCAAAATGAACGAAGTGCTATATATCAAAATAGATTTCTTAAAATAGGCGTCTGCCTAACAATTGTGGCTTCTCATGAACAGCCGCACGTGACACCATCCCATGGAGGGAAATTCTTCTCCCAAACCAGCTGGCCAGATCACAGAGACAACGAAATTCAAGCAAAAGGTGTTGTATCACTTTAGAAAAGTGAAAATCACCTGCTAGTGTCACGAAGTACTACCCCTCGAATAACATGCCATTTTTCTTTGAAATATATTCTGTGGTAGACTGGTTAAGTAAACAAAGGTTTTCATAAAATGTTATCTTCTTTAGCCAGGGTCAGTTGCAAATTATTTAAAAAACAAAAACACATGTCTGCCATGGTCTTCCACCTTAAGGCTATATGTATTTTCACCTACTCAGTACTCTTTTTAAAAAGATTTTACTAATGCATACAAGACCTGCGGTACAGGCCAGAGAGGTGGGGGGTGTGGGGGTGTGGAGGAGGGGTTTGAGAGGACCCACCAGAGACAGAGTGGGGAGCAGAACAGGCAGATGAACTGAAATTCACTGCTGAGGGGAGCAGCGGGCGAGACAGGAGAGGTCTGCTGTGCCATGTGGGTTGCTCCCTGGCCGGCCAGGGATCAAACTTGTGCTGCAGAGGCTTCGGATTCCTTCATAGTGCGGTGCTTAACCCCTTGCACCAGCAGGGAGCCCCCTGCTCAGCACTTTTTATGGTGTTTGGTGTATTTCCTTATTATGGGTGAGAGTAAAATATTTTTACAAATTTTGTGTTAAATAATGAAGTATAGATAATGAAGTATACTGCATCATAAATGTGTAATTTAAATGTTCTTAGCTATTCCAAAGTAAACTGTCCTTCAAAAGACAGTAATAAAAAAGGCAAGATACAAATTACAGAAAATATTTACAAAATATGTATCTCATACAGAATTTTTATTCACTATAAAGAATTCTTATAATTCAATTAAAACAAAAACTTAATAAAAACGGGCAAAACCTATGAACAAAAAAGATCGTATTACAGGGCTTCTGTGGTGGTGCAGCAGGTTGAGCACGGCGCTGTGAAGCTGTCCACAGCCTCTGCAGCGCAGGTTCGATTCCTGGCCAGCCAGGGAGATACCCACATGACGCAGCAGACCTCTTCTGTCTCACCCGCTGCTCCCCTCAGCAGTGCTTTCGGTCCGTCTGCCTGTTCTGTTCCCCACTCTGTCTCTGGTCAATCCTTTCACCCTCCCACGCCTCTGGCCTGTACCCCAGTTTTTATATAAGTAAATCTTTAAAAAAAAAAAAAAAAGATCACATATTACATGTGTTTTACCTTATGGCCCAGACCTGGATAAGTGTCGAGGGGCTCACAACACACGCTTTCATTCCAGTTGTTTAAGTCTATGACAGGTAAATCAGTGGTTGGGGGTCAGGGGGATTAAATGCAAAAGGGTGTGACAAACTTTCTGGAGTGAAGGAAAGGCCCTCTGTGATGCTGTGGCGGTAGTTACACAACTTTTTATATTTGTCAAGTCTCATCAAATTATGCACTTTATATGTTATGACATACAATAAACTTTAGTCAATTTTATCTCAGTAAAGTTGACAGAAATACATTCTTGCAAAACATACAAACATTTCTGTTTCTGTAAATGTTTCACAAGCATTTTAAGTAAAACGACAACAAGGCTTTCTCTGAAAACTAAATGAAGGGATGAAGTTACCCAAGAAGAAAGAGAAACAAATGAAAGTAAATATTTGTTGCTAATAATAAAGAAGAAACAACTATTCTGAAGGTACTGAATATATCTCAAAAGGAAGTCTGATGATCAGGCTGGGAGTATAAGCCCAGGACCTTGGCCAGACAGCACCCCCACGAGGAGGCACAGGCCAGCTCACACCGTCTTCTGCTCAAGAAGGTGCCAGATCAAACCCGTCTCAACTCAGGTGGTGCTGCCCTTTTTTCTCCCTTTGTCCCCTATCCCATCTCCCAGTTCTATAGCCTGAACCACTGCACAAAAATTATTATAAAATAAACTCATGGAGGCTTTTCTGATTTAAAAAAAAAAATTAATGGTCTTTGACATTCCTATATTTTCTATAAAGGAAGCCCAAGGCACCAGTAATCTCTCTACCTAGAGAAGATAACAACTCCCAACACTCTGGTGTTCACCCCTCCTTTCTGTTACAGACAGAGCAGGGGGGACTTAACATTCTTACACAAAATGATCATCAATTAAGCACTAAAACTGAAAGATAACTATGGAATTCCAAAAGCAGTAAATACACAATCCTCCAAAGAGGCTTGGAAATTAAAGGAACAATGTAAACTTAGGAAGATGAACATGACCATGGTATTTAAGGCCTCCATCACTCAAAACCATGATCAGAAGGAATTTATAGAGAAAAGGCTCTCCAGGAGCATTTGACTCTGAAATTGGAGAACCCTACTCTTCTTTTTCACACTTAACAGAGATTACACAGGTCCTCTCCACGCCATCCTTAGACAATATTCCTTCATTCTTCCAGACCGGTAACAAAAATACAAGGTATGAGTCTCAGTTCACAGCAGTTGAAAACAAACTCACGACCTGCCTCAAAAGATTTGTAATGTTACCCAATGCTATATTGCGGGATCCCAGGCCCAGAGACACAGATTCAGGTCTGCAGTGAGAGCCAGGAAATCTGCATTCCCACTCTGACGCAGTCTGCAGCTCACTCTTGGAGCACAGACACGCCCAAGACCAGGCCGCAGCCTGTCCTTACTGATTTCTGTTTCCAGCTCCACGAGCTCTGTCCTCCACTCACACTGAATTACCTTCTGTATCTGCCTAGCTCATTCATTTTTTTTTTTTTTAAAGATTTATTTTTATTTATTTATACAAGCACTGGGTACAGTCAGAAGCGCGGGAGGGTGAGAGAATTCACCAGAGCCAGAGCGGGGAGCAGAGCAGGCAGAAGGACCGAAGTACATTGCTGAGGGGAGCAGCGGGCGGCAGGAGAGTTCTGCGCGCCATGTGGGACTCTCCTCCGGTGGCCTGGCCGTGGCCTGGCCGGGGAGCAGCCGCATTTTCACTGCCTGGAATGCCCTCCCTCCAGGCATTTCTTATGCAGAATCTACTCAGACTTCAAAACCCAACTCACTCTCCAACCCTTGCTCTGCCTACCCAGCTAGAAATAAAACTTTGAATGCCTCTATCATCAGATCAATACTTCTATGACATGAGTTATTTTCTCACTTACAGTACATGCTCTTCTCTACTAAAAGGAAACTCCTGAGAACAGCATCCAAATCCCAGCGTTCTCTGCACCCTTGGGTGCCTGGCAATCCCGGGCCACACCAAGCATTCATTTGGTTAGGGAGTCAAATGAAGACAACATTAGCTGCTCAAACCCAAGTTTCCTGCCTTCCACTTCATTTGCACACCACCCCTCTTCTCAGCTGCTGCTGCTGCCGCTGTCACCTTAACCATAATGCTGACTCTCCTGGGAAGATGGGACACCTTAACATTCCACAAAGGGAATTCTGACAATATTCGTTTTGTAAACAGAACAAAAAAAAAAAAAAAAAAGCTCTTTCAACTTCAACATGACTGAGAGCCTGTGCTGCGGAGCTGGTGGGGAAATGTCCTCTCTCATGATCTTCCCTCTCCTCGAGGTGATCGCGGACATGGGGCCTCACCAAAGAGCCGGTCTTCTCAGCTGCCTGCAGAACACCCTCAACAACGAGCCTCAAAGTCATCACCACTATTACTTCAGGCCTTTGATGCTATATTCGCATGCCATGACCATCAAGAAAATAAAGAGAACACAACCCTGTCCTTCGTGAGGCAACATCCGGAGCACAGAACACAGGTCCCAGCCCGAGAATGTGCACCTAACACGAGACATATCTGTAAGGCAACAGGGCACACTCACTACACGCCCCTCCATACACTGTTCTATTAAGCTCACATTTTAACAAACTGTGAAAACAGTATGACTATATTAAAAGAAATATATTACAAGATAACTACATACCTGTGGATTTTCCAAACGTTTTAAGTACTCTTCAAAAGACCCTTCTATAAACTGCAAAAAAAGAAGACAAGACTGTAAGGAACACATCCAAGTAAGTTAACCCTTTACTATAAATCACATTCACTCTGAACTAAGTCCTTACACAAACCCTGGATATATCAGTAATAGGAAGAAATGCTTATGTAAAATATGATCATGAAAATACAAACAAATCATTAAGACCGCAAACATACGAAAGAGTCTCAAGAAGAAATATGGTCACGGAAGGTTTCCCAGTCAGGACGTGGGTGGGCAGCGGGACAAGGCGGCGTGCGGAGGGGTGTGGGGGGGAGAGGCGCCGGCCGCCAGGAGCAGCTGGGCAAGTTGGTGGAACAGCGGAGCGGAGCGAGAGCTCTAGCGGCACCTGTTTAGAGAGGGCCTGGAGCCCAGGCAGGACTTTCAGTCTGAAGGAGAAGGCAGTTCAAGGTCATGGCAGGTGACACAATGACCAAAAAAAAAAATCACATGATAAAGGCAGCACCTGAAGATCAATTTGGTAACAGAATTAAAGACAGATACCCTAGCTAAGGGAAATCAGTTTATGTGAATTCATTGTCTCAAGTCAGTTATACTAAAAACAGATGAGAGTTAATGCTGACAATATTTGGAAGAATCAAGATTTTGCCAAAACAGCCCGCTTCATTGTAGCTTTAACATGAAAAAAATTGAGTTAATTCAAGCTATATGCTCATCTTCTTCTCATCCAGATTACACTAATGTAGTTCAGAAAGCTCTAAAAGGCTTTCATCTGAAGCACCACACTCAATTTCATTTAAATTAGTACCAGTTAATTTAGCGAAGTGGTAGTTAAAAACATTCAGAAGTACATGCCCCATCTATAAACCTTTTTTACATGTCCACTGATTTTGCAGGGTTGAGGTTCTTTTATAGACTGTAGATTATAAAATTTTCCAAAAGTATCTTAAGCTTCAATATACACATAATAAATTAGTCACATATTCTAAATATCCCTCCAATCAGAGGCCACTGTTCTGTATTAAGTGATTATTTATAGACTCAAGACAGCCCACAGAACCAACTGAAGTTGGCAGAGACCTAAGGAGTATTCTGACACAGCCTGCATCCCATAAGGGATTGTCCTGCTCATCCAGAGCTTAGGTCTAGGCGCTGACTAAGCACTCTCAGAAGCAAGGCAAACCCTGTTTCCAGCCGGCCCTTTCAATTCTGGCCAGGAGACTGTTTGAAGGTACTTGCGATAAGGAAAGTGAGCCTTCCCCCTCAGGACTTTGGAGCCCTGATCTTACCTCTTAAGATTATAAGGGAGAAATAAATGTATGTAAAGCATCTAAAACAGTGTCTGGCGCATAGTTAGCTCTCAACCAAGGTTAGCAATTTCCATTACTGTCAACAGTGATTTACCCTCCCGGGCCAGTAATAATGATTCATTCACTTATAATTTCTTCAATATTTAAAGACCACCCCCTTCCCTTTCTCCACCACACCCTCAAACTCTTATCTAGTTTCCCAATAACCTTTTTTATTTAAATAAGAAAAGGTTTTGAAACTCCTGATGAAGCAGGTAACTCTCCTTCCTGGAACAGATTACTGCCAGTCTGAAACAAGCACCCAGGAGAATGTCACATTATTACAGTAACAGTTCACTTGAATGTAGGACCAGCAAACCAAGAGCACGTCCAAACTAAGAACTCTACCTATTAGAATTGAGATATTTGCAAAGTTGCAATGTTCTCTCACCAATTTATAAGGAAAACCACTGAGAGTGGTCATATCACATAATTCTAGGTCATAAAACCAATACTAGTGAATGATACAAGGCTGACAACGTAAAAGGAAAATAGGTCACTGTAGCATCTTATTTCACAGACTACTAGCTATTACTGAGAAAACTGTACTGAGCTGCTTTACAACACTCTAGCAACTATTAATCAGTATTACATAATTACAGTGTTCTGAAACATGGTTCACAATACCCCTGACCATTAAAAATCTATAAATTCCTTCTGATAAAATTAAAGGCTCAGTATTAGCCATGCTCAGCATATTTTTTACATCCAAGCCTGAAATGTTTAAAAACTCATAGGCAGTTACCCATCACAGCAAACTCTGCCAACCACAACACCCAATCCCCTGACCTTGCCAGACAAAGCTCATTCTCAACACACAAGGAGCCCGCCCCAGTCAGTCTTCCCGTCCTGCACAGCTCAGTCCCATCCATCACAAAAGTCTCCCCAATGTCTGAATAAAGGAATACCACACACCAAAGTGGCCTAAAAAATATCACCACTGAATATAATTAGATTTAAATTCAATAAAGCAGTTTTTCATAAAAGTCCCCCCGCAACCCCCGCCCCATAACCTGCATTAGGATCCAGTCTGTGAAACTCCCATTAGGCCACTTTTAAAGGCTAAAATGTAAATGCAAGTCAAGACAGCACTACATGTTTGAAATTATAAATTACCGCTTCAAATTTCTCTCTGTTCTCTCGAAGATAGTGAATGCAGGCCATCCTAACTTCGACATGGCGGGACTGAGAGTGCAGCACCTACAACAGAAAAAGCAACATGTTATGAGGCAGTCGTTAAGAAGATCTGAATTACGACCTACTACCTTCTTTCACCCACAAAATAACCTTCCAGCTAATAGACATCTGTCTCCCTCCACTTCCTTTTCTATCATTTCTAGAGTGTTCGGCATCCCCACCTCTTCCTCTAACCACAGGAGTGGCATGACACATACAAACACACCAGCATTTCCTCAACCCAACGTTGAAGCTCAATAAAGAATTTACATTTCCCCTTTAGGTCACTGAAATCACAAATCTGAGGTGATCTTTATAAATGGAGGACACTTTTCCCTCATGGCCAGTCAGTCTTCTGCTGTAACTTGCTCTTCACAAAGCTTGGCTAATAGAACCCCGTTAACTTTTTTTTTTTTTTTTTTGAAGATTTTATTTATGCAAGAGCTGGGGTACAGGCCAGACTCCCGGAAGGGTGAGAGGATTCACCAGAGACAGAGCAGGGAGCAGAACAGGCAGACGGGAGGACCGAAGGCACTGCTGAGGGGAGCAGCGGGCGAGACAAGAGAGGTCTGCCTCACCATGTGAGAATCTCCCTGGCTGGCTAGGAATCGAACCAGCACGACAGAGGCTGCAGACAGCTTCACAGCACTGCGCTCAGCCCGCTGCGCCACTGGGGAGGCCCAAACCCTGTTAACTTTGCTTCATATCCTATGCATGCTGGTAAAGAGAACAAATGGAGTCACCTTTGAGGCTATAAGCCTGTAAAAGATTCCTTTTTCCCAGTGAATTGTGAACTACTTGCCTTCTGTATGTTTCAGAAAATGTAAGGCTGAAACCATTACATTTCATTCAACCTCCAGCTGAAACCTCCAGCTATCAGGTTTACAGGACCCTTGAAAAAGCACCCAGGAGGGGAGCACAGCAGACTCAGACCTGCGGCCATGTGGCCTTCTCCAACAGCCTTGGAAATTGCTCTTCTGCCCTAATTCTAAATGCAACAGGGCCTCCCTGATGGCGCAGGGACTATCAAGCACTCTGGGCATGATCAGGCTATTGCCAGCCACTGTGGCATGAATTCGATCCCAGACCAGGGAGCTAACCCACATGGGGCGCCTACACCCCAGATCTTGTATGCATAAATAAGTAAAAATAAATCTCTAAAAAAAAATCTAAAAGCAACACCTGAATGATACTACCCTACCAAAAGCAGTTCAGTCCCTCTCAACTCCTTCTGTTAAACAACTATTTAAACAAAAAGATAACCTACTGGCATTTGCCTCTAAGATTCTAAAGCTTTGGCTTGCAAAAAAAAAAAAAAAACTAGTACTGTAACAGGGTGGTCCCCAGGAAAGGGGGAGGTTCCAGGTTCCCTGCCCCACCCAAGGGAGGGCGGAGCTGAGCAGGAAGAGAAGAGGCTGCAAAGGAGACTGAGGAAGGAAGGAAGCAGGATGGAGCCAGAGGGTGACCTGGAGGAGGCGCATGAAGCCGAGGGACACATGAAGAAACTGCACTTGTCTTTTGGTCGTAACAGGGTGACACAGATGTGGGTGAGACCCGAGGGGAGGTGACAATGGCAGCTTTTATCTTGATTTTGATTTTGCTTGTCTGGTTGTTTCTGACCCTTTTCTGTGGGTCCCCACTGGAAGATGCTTTAGACTTGTGGCAGGCTTTGGGGCCTTGCTCTGGGCCAATCCCATTTGAATGGAGTTTTACACACGAGGGGACGGGTGACTTTGGGTGCTTGATTTAGAAACTAGATTCTTTGCCTTTCCTGTCTTGTTTCCTAGTTGTATTAAAGTTCCTTCCCATTAAAGTCTCATATGTTTTGTGTTGATGTGGCGGATGGCAGAACCCTATATAGAATAGGCAGGTTTGTGGGGTTTGGGCTGCCCCTCTCCCTGCCCTGTAACAGTATTATCAAATGCCCGTTGGCTAGCCTCCAAAACTCAAACTACCTTGTTTAAAAGAGATTAAGAGTATTTACTAGATGAGGTGTCTCAAATGAAGTTTGGTCCTGGTATCCTGAAAAGGGGAAGCGTGGAATACCTGACACATTTGAAATAACCACATCTCAAACTACGATCAAGGCCCTTGAGAGTTTATACTAATGCAACTTTAAAAACTACAGCTCCTAAGAGAATAAATCTTGAAAGTTCTCATACCAGTTGCCATCACTATTTATGGCAGTGGATGTTAACCAGATTGGGGACCATTTTGGAACACATACAAATACTGAATCATTATCTTCAACACCTGACACTACTATTACTATGTCATATATCAAATATACCCCAATAAAAAAATCTGAGAAAATATAAGTCAGAGCTCCAATTGAGTGCGTCTCCCTTTGTTCAGTGTGAACTCAGGAAAAGGGAGGCTCCAGCTGCCCATTTTACAGGTTCTCTGGCTAACAGCCAGGGCTCACTTATTCCCACAGAACCAGACACAGCCATCAGGCCAGCAAGTGCATCTGAACATGCCAAAGCCAAGCTGGCTGCGGTCAATGTGCAGTGTTCAGTGTACTCGCTGATTTCAGTTTAAACGAAGACATGGCACCCAGGAAACACTGCTGTCTCAGGACACTATTATTAGGAAGCACCCTTATACATTCCAACCTCCAGCGCTGGAGAGAATGGCCATATATAGAAATAACCATCACACGTTTTTTTGCCAATTCAACAAATGCATTTTGCAGCACAGCACTTCTCACGCAGAAGCTACATTAGACACTATTATGGAGGATCAAGGTATTCTTAGTTTGAGTAACCCACAATGTCATCCCATAGGGCTTTCCTGCCGTTAGCAAAGTGAAGCTAATCTTAAGCCATTTACCTAGCAACAGGTGGCAGATATGAATGAAGCTTATTTTCCATCAAAAACAATCACAAGTATTTCTCTCGTCTTTTTCTCCTTTCAACAAAGATTTTAGCACAGAAAACCTGAATCTATTACTCAGAGGCAAAACTCCCAGCAACTTCCATAAAGTGTGGGGTAGTGATTCCTTTCAGAGTCAAGCGCTGCAAGAAAAGGTGAAGGACACCTTTTTAAAAATATCTCACCATACATATTCAGGAACACTCAGGAAGAATTCAAACTCCTATCTTTGCAAATTATTGTATCGATGAAAACAAACTAGAAATAGACAGCTTTCCAATCTTTACTTGGGATAAGAAAGTGATAAATGCTGGGGAAGGTTGACACACTGCTTTAGCAAGTCCTCTAAGAGCGCCCTATTTTTAGTTCCATGGCCATGGAGCTGATTCAGGTCAAGCCTCCTGCAGGCCCAAGTCCAGAGTGTAAAAGGGAAGGGCCTGTCTATACCAGGTAATCTGGAGGGAAAGACTACCTAAGTCTCTCCCTACCCCTCAAAGAGGGGCACCAAGTACTCTCCTTCTTAGAAATGATATTTATTTTGATACTGCTGGAGAAATTGCTGGCGAAAAAAAAAAAGAAAAGAAAACCTCTGTACACACTTTTAAAGGGCAGCCTGGGGTTGGAATTATTTGTCTTCCTCCCCAAACACACTTTGCCTTTGGCCATGAAGGCTACACATGCAGTCCGTATCTACTGAAGAAGTACCACCCCCCCACCCCCGCGCTTCAAGCTATTAAGTTTTCTAAGTTCTGTACACTAAAAATCGGAGTCACAAAATTGGAGGAAGTATTTTCTTAAGACCCAGCAAAATGAGTTCTCTGCTGTCAAACAATGAGTTCTTACTGTAACTAGCTCTTGCACTTTTTCCACTGAAAAGAGGAATCCCACCACACCAGAGGTGGGATCATCTACCACCTGCAATGCCGAAATCCAACGCCACCTTTGCGCTTCCCTATAAATTAGGATCTGCATAATCCAACTCCAAGTCAGCTCCAGATCTCCTTTATTCTGCCTCCTTCCTTACCAAATACCCAACACTTGCTCAAGCTAACAGTATATCAGACAAATGGGCGGAATCCAGCTCCACCTCTCCGCTCTGCCTTCTGGAGGTGCTGAGGAGCTGAGAGGCAGAGGAAGCAAGAGAGGAGAACCACAAAATTCACAAAAAAGACAAACTGTTTACCCACGAATAGTAAACTGAGGTGAGTGAGTGTGAACACATCCCCAAAGCAACACCGCAATCTCCTAAGCTTTTGAAAACAAGCCATCTAAAGACCTGAAACAGACCTGGACCGGGGGAGCTTTACCAGCAGTTTGAATGACAAAGCCGGCAACATCACACACAGCTCTGCCCCACTTAGGCCAATTTGTTTTCACAAAAAGGTGTTAAGCCACCGATGTGAAAACCAGGGCTTTCGGGAAATAACCGGCTGGCCCTTGGACCTGGGGGGGGGAATGGAAATGGACTGAACTACAGACCTAAGTAAAACATCTACTCACAAACGCAGATGTGGAAGGCGGACGAGCACTCGGAAAAGGCGAGAAAATCACCCACAGACACGGCCCGGCGCGCAGGGGCGAGGGATTTTGGACTAAAGGGAAGCAAAGTACAAAAGGCAGATGGAACTTTTACCCATTTCCACGGCTACCTTTCAAGACAGGATGGTGTTGGAGCCCGCACACCCGACTTCACAGAACACGAAATCAGCTCGAACCAAAAAAACAAAACAAAACACCACACACAGGTAAAGAAAACCCGACCCCTTCCCAAGCAGCTGCGCGTCAGAAAGTGGTTTTGGCCACTAACCGGGGAAAATGAGGCCAGAGGCGGGGGCCCCGTTACTGCCTCCCGACCACGAACACCGAAACGGGCGTTTACGAGAAGTTATTTCTGGTCCACAACCGGCCCCGAGGAGCCCGGCGCGGCGTCCACGCCCCGACGCGCCCCCGAAACGGCCCGTTTCCCGAGCCCGGCGCCCCCGGGCCGCCCCTTCGCCCTCGCGCGCGGCGGCCCGGGCGGGCGTGACCCCCGATCTGCCAAAGTCCAGGAAGCGGCGGAAAGAATGTTGGAGCCGCGCGGGCGCCGCCTCCGCGAGCCAACAGCGGGCCCCGGCGCCGAGCGGCGGGAGCGCGGACCCGGGCGCGGCGCCTCACCTCGCCGGGCCCGGCCCGCGCCCGCCCGGCCCGCGCAGGCCCCGCGGCGCGCCCGGCGAACGCCCCTGCCCGGACCCGAAGTTTCGCGCCCGGCGCCCGCCCCGCGGGCCGCGTCGACGCCGCCCGCCGGCCCCGGCCGCCGCCCCTCACCTGCTCGGCCACGGCCCGGAACAGGCACGACCCGTCCTTGGCCACCAGCTTCCGATACAAGCCCAGCTTCCGCAGATAGGCGTCCATGGGCGTCGCGTCCTCGCGGGGCCCCGCGCCGCCCTGGTCCCCGCCGTCGGGGGCGCCGACGGCCGCCTCCATGTTGCCGGTCCCGCTGCACGGCCGGCGCGGCGCGGGCTAGCCCCACATGGCGGCGCCGCCGGCTCCTCGGCGCCCCGGCCCGGGGCGGGCGGCGGCCCGGCGTGGGCCGGGCGGGCGGCAGGCGGCGGCGGCGGCGGCCCGAAGCGGCGGCCCGCGCTCCCCGCGTGCATAGGGGGCCCGGCCTAGTGCATGGCTGCGCGCACGCGGCCGCCGCCCGGGGCACGCGCCGGGGCCGCGGGGCGGAAACGAAAGGCCGGCGCGCGGCAGCCCCCGCCGCGCCCCCGCAGGAGCTGGGCCCCGAGTCGCCGCCCCACGAGTTTCCGGGTCCCCGCCCGGGCCGAGGCCGGCTGAGGTGAAGCGCGGCCTGCGGCCCCCGCCCCCCGCGTCGCGCCCAGCCGCCCGAGACCGCCGCGGCCGCTCGCTTCCCCGCCTCGCCGGAGGGCGCCGAGGGGCGGGGAGAGGCCGGGAGCCGGCGGAGGGCAGCACCCCGGCCGCCCGCACTGGGCTTTCCTCGCGGCCGAGCGCGGAGAGGACGGCGGGAGGTGTAGTCCGCGCCGCGGCAGGAAGTGGGCCGGCGGCGGCGGGCGGCGCGCGCGGCCCGGCCTACCCGGGGGAGGTGCCGCGGGCCGCGGACTACAAGTCCCTACTGCGCGGGCGCGGGCGCCGCCGGCTCCGCGCTCCCCGGGCCCGCGGCCGGAGCAGGCCGGGGCGCCCCCTCAGCCGACGCGCGCCGCCCGCCGCCCCTGCCCTGCCCGCGGGAGGCGCGCGCGCCCGGCGAGCGCGGAGTTGCCAGGGACACGGCGGCGCTGGGGCGGCCCTTTGTGTATTTCCTAACTGAGGGCGCACCTGTCGCCCCCTCCCCCCGCCGCCCCGCTGGCGTTTCCAGGGCGGAGGCTTTAACGGCTTGAGCCGCAAACAGCTAATTGGCGAAGCTTCTGGAGCCGCGGACCGGCCCGCCGGTGTGGACCGGGCTGGGCCCGCTCGGCGCCGCGCCCCCGGCGGCCGCGCGCCCGCAGAGAGGGCCCTGCGCGGAGGGGGTTCTGGTGTTCGGTTTGTTGGGTTTTTTTCCCCCTTAAAAAGGCCACCTTGGTTGCCAGGTAACCTGCTGGCCTGGCCTGAGGCGCCGCGTCGGCTCCCCACCCTCCCGGGCTGGCGGCGGGGGGCCGAGAAGCGGGGACGGAGCCGGCGGACTGATGCCCGGCTTGAAGGCGGTCGCCCCTGGTGTCCTGGGTGGTGAACACACGGCTGGCCACCGAGTGTCCTGCGGCCTGGAGACCAGGGGTGGGGAGAGGGAAGAAGGGGAAAGTGGGTTATTGCGGGTGTAGACGACTCGTCTAACTGGAATGGGACCCGGGCAGGCTAGGTAGATGGTGAGTCCAGCGTAAAAGGACTGAAGAGTCTATTGTAGAAATTGGCTTTCCCTTGCGCTTTCGGTGCAAGCAGTAAATTAGCTGCGTGTTCTAGATTGATTCATGTTTCTAGATTCTATATTCAATTGTGCGGTTTTTAGAGAATACAAACGTTACTGAGACCTAAAGGGAAGAATGATCTGGACCCACGTAAATTTTACATGTAGGGAAATAAACACTCGGGAGTGACTTCTGAAAAATTTATTTAAAGGGCAAACCTTTTGCTTTTCTTTAAATACTTCTTCTACATTGTGTCTATTTCTCATTCACCCCTCCAAGAAAAAATATGGACTACTTACAACTTGACTTGCCTTTTTTTTAAATTGTAGTTTCCTTTTAAACCCACATGGCACAGCAGATCTCTCCTGCCTCGCCTGCTGCTCCCCTCATCAGTGTATTTCTGTAGATCCACCTGTTCTGCTCCCCACTCTGGTGAATCCTCTCACCACCACCACCACCTCTGGCGTACACCCCAGTTCTTGAATGCATAAATAAATAAATCCCTTTTTAAAAAAAAAATTTAAAAAGAAAAGGAAAACAAATACATCATTAGTTCTACAATATCTTTATTTTCCATTGCAAAAATTTAATCACTGATAATAGTATAATCAAAATAAGAATGGACGGGATCATTTAAATAGATGTTCTGGTGGAGAAGCTGACAATAAGAGGTCAATTTCAATCATTTTTAAAATGGATATTAAATGCAAAAAAAAAAAGGCCTTTATCAGAATTCATCAAAATCCCATGCTATCTTGTAAAAATGTAGCTTGTCACAAGTATTAGGAAAATAACACACTTCTGGTCTTTTCTACAATGATATCTTGGCAAAGTTATTTACTGTCCTCACTCCTGTTGAATGAGTGCAAAATAGCATTGCTCTAAACAGGCTGCTTCTTGTTCCAAAATTAGAAGTATAACACCTGTTGTAGCTGACCCGGGCCTGTTTAAGGAAATATTTTAGGTATTTTGAGATCTAATCCAAGACAGACCCTCTGTGTGCCAAATCCCCAAATATAGCTCCCTGCTCAGGCCATGTCAGAAGATCCTATGACTTTAAACTGGATCAAACCTACAGAAACTCAGGTACTTTCAATGGATCTGTACTTGTTCATCTTAACTTCTGAAACTTTTCGAGAAGCCACATCTAATTGAAAATGTTCACTCTTGGGTCACCATTTCTGACTAGCAAAAGCGAAGTACTTTTTAAACAGACATTTGAATCAAATGCAATCTGAAAGGTCAATGTTCTTGAAAACCTAATGAAATTAACCAAATTCATCTTACGCAAATGTGTCAATCAACTTTATTTTTCTTGTCCACAGTCAATATCTCAAGTCTTCTTTGTTTATCCTGACAAAATACTGGATGGAAATTTTTTTTTAAAGATTTATCTATGCATACAAGAACTGGGGTACAGGCCAGTGGTATGGCGGGGGGTGGTAAGAAGATTCACTAGAGGCAGAGTGGGGAGCAGAACAGGCAGACGGACTGAAATACACTGCTGAGGGGAGCAGCAGGCGAGACAGGAGAGGTCTGTTGTGCCATGTGGGTAGCTCCCTCGCCCGGGATCAAATTCATGCTGCAGTGGCTGCAGATAGCTTCATAGTGCTGGGTCTTAACCCCTTGCCCCTTAACCCCTTGATAGATTTTTCTGGAGACTTTTTTCCAATCCAAGGTTAGGTATTGTGGTCTCCAAGATGGCCCCCATGGTCCCTTCCCCCAGGTATTCTCACTTTCCTATGATCACCCCCATCTTGTAGCAAGGTTGGTCCGAGTGACACATAGGAGGGACATTATGTCCTCTGAGATGAGGTTATGAGATGCTGTCAGCATTTCAGATGCTTTCTTAAACTCTCTCGTCGTAACTCACTGTGGTGAGATCTCTTGTTTCATGTTGTGAGCACACCTACATAGGCTCACTGGAGAAGAAACCAACCTTCCTGTCAATAGCAACGTGAGTCAGCTTTGAGGCAAATCCTCCAACCCAGTCAAGCTTTCAGATGACTGCAGCCCTGGCTGAAACCATGTTTGCAACCTCCAAACGCTCCGCCAGAACCACCTGCTCAGCTCTAAGCTTGAGGGCCTCTGAGATTCTTGACCTTAGAAGGTGTGAGATAACAGATGTTTGTTGTTAGGCTTCAAATGTTGGAATAATGTGTTACACAGCAATAGATAAGTGAGGCAGATCTAATACTCCATTGTGTCTCTTTATGAGGCAGACAATGTATTTCAATAATTCATGAACATACTAATTAAACAGTCTTTTGACTTCACTAGATCTCTAGTAAACTAACCAATAACTGAATTTTTTTTTAATTTATAAAATCCTTTACAAAAATAGAGTAACCCAAGAATGTCTGGCTTTTATTGCCATGTAGGATTTTGGTTTGTGTTCTATAAAAATTTAAGTAGTTGAATACTACCAAAAAAAAAAAAAAACCAGTTTTATGCAGAAAGACCTATTTCTTTCAGGTCCTATATGCTAGAGATTACTGTCCTCCACTTCCCATTTTAATTAGGGGAAGAGGGCCACCCAGCTTTGGAACACATTTCTCAACCTATCTAGGAACTAAATGTGACCGTGTGATTATTTTAGGCCAATAGGATATGAGCAGAATGAATGAGGTTAACCTCCAGGTCATCTCCTTCCAGAGGAAGCCTGCCCTCCACTGCCTTTCCTGGTTGAAACTAAATTGGCTCTGGTCATACACACATGGCACTTTAAGAGATAACAGAGCAAGGGTGTAAAGCAAACAAGGCCTGGGAATGCTTCATGCCTCAAAATCCCCAAGGCTGTTTTGGGAGAGAAAAATAATCTTAATTAACCAACTATTTAGTCTATGTATTCTAGCATATTTTCCCCAATATTAGATAGATATAAAATATATAAGAACTACTTCCTGAGTTGAGCAGAACATGATTGTTCAGGAAAGTATTTCCCTGAAAATTCGGGAATCCCAAATGTCAGAGGACATCCTCCAAGGTTTCCTTCTGTTGTTTTAAGCAATGACTTTCTTCTTCACCAATCCACACTCTCCTTTAACTGCTACTCTGACACATCCTCCTTTTGAAATTCTCTGTACCTGCATAAGAAGAAACATCTCAATATTTTGGTTATTTCTCCTTTAGTGACTCCTTTCTCTGCCCACCCCCTCCCTACAACCCCGACCTTCTAAATGTAAGGGTTTCCCAAGGCTTGACCTTCAACCTTAAAGCGTCTCCAAAGTTTAATCTCCTATCTCCAACTCCATACTGGGTGTTTCAACCTAAAACTAAGTGTTTCTAAAATTAAAAATGTGTGGGACTCTCTGGTGGCACAAGGGGCTAAGCACCGCGCTATGAAACAATCCGCAGCCTCTGCAGCATGAGTTCCATCCCCAGCCTGCCAGAGAGAAACCCACATGGCTCAGGAGACCTCTCCTGTCTCACCCGCTGCACCCCTCAGCGGTGTATTTCAGTAGCTCTGCCCGTTCTGCTCCCCGCTCTGTCTCTGGTGAATCCTCTCACCCTTGCACTCCTCTGGCCTATACCCTACCTGTTGTATAAAAATAAATAAATCTTAAAAAAAAATAAAAATAATACCTCAAAAAAAAAAAGATAAACTCTCATTAGATGACAATGGTAAATCTACCTGGTAGAGTGCTCTTATTTTTGTTTGATCATCGCCATCCGTTCTCTGTGGAGTAGGTAAAAACAATTAGGGAAGTGTAGGTAAAAACAATTAGGGAAGTACATGATGAAAGCATCCTATTGTACAAATAATTATGCATTTAATATGCTGTGAGTGAAGTAATTTACATCAAATATACAATAGAACCACCAATATCAAATCACAGACCCACCTTGGGGCGTAAATTAGACAGCACCCACGTGGATTCATGGACACAGTGACAAGGGTAGTGCCCCGAAGAAACACCCCCAGGTGAGCCTCTCCAACTTTATCTGAACCAGACACACTGATCCTAGGCAGGGAAACTCTTAAACCAAAAAATAATAAAAATGAAAGCTGGACACCAAGCAAACTGTGGACGTGTCTCTACAGGATTAAGTTCGCTGGACGCTGCCACCCTATCCAGGCGTTAGCTACTTAGCACTCTGCTCCTCTGATGCCAGACGCAGCCCACGGGGCTTGAACATAATAGGCCTCCACCTGTGTTCACCTGAACATTAGAGGTTTGAGCCAAAAAAATACCTCGGTCCTGGCCAGACTAGCATCCTCATCTGCTTGGACTTTAGTTCAGTAATAATTAGCTCTGCCTGTTGATATTTGAGAAGTTGGGCTAACAGATGCATTGAGGTTTTTTGTTACAGACAGATTGCTTATTGTGTGGATTCCTGTGCTCCCAGCCCACGCGCTCTGATGATCAGTTTGGCTGATTTAAACCTGTCAATGGTCATCACCCACTTATTATTTTGATGAACTGCAAATAAATTGATACTGTGCAAAGATTAGTGTGTGTGTGTGTTTGTGTGTGTGTGTGTGAGAGAGAGCGAGAGAGAGAGAGAGAGAGAGAGATTCATCTGCTTATGAGAGTGTAGTCAAAATAATTTGATAAAAATCAACTTTTTGAAAATGAGATTGTTTAGATGCTCAGGCAAAGTAGGAAAAGATTGGCATGATCCCATCTTATATTTTAGGAAATGTCATTCAGAAAAAGAACCTTATTTATAATTTAGTATAAAGTGAAATGGGGGGTGAAAGAATAAAATATATAAGAATAATAGCTGATGTGTCTCATGTGCAAACTCTTCACAATATTTGTGGTTCTTTTTTTTAAGATTTATTTATTTATGCACACAAGAGCTGGGGTACAGGCCAGACGTGCAGGGGGTGAGAGGACTCTCACCATAGACAGAGCAGGGAACAGAACAGTCAGACTGAATGAAATACACTGCTGAGGGGAGCAGTGGGCACAACAGGAGAGGTCTGCCTCACCATCTGGGATTCTCGCCGGCAGGCCGGGGATTGAACCTGCGCTGCAGAAGCTGTGGACAGCTTCTGCAGTGCGGAGCTCAACCCGCTGCACCACCGGGGAGACACTGCCCCCACCCCCCTCCCCTGCAGTGCTGGTGAGCATTTCAGGAGCGTTATGCTCGGGAGCCTGGAAGCTCTGCCCTTTTCCTGTGTCTTCCCTAAGTATCTCAGCTCTCTGCCTGCTCCTGAGTTAAACCCTTTTTTTTTAAAGATTTATTTATTCATGCATACAAGAGATGGGGTACAGGCCAGATGTGTGGGAAGGTGAGCGGGGAACAGAACAGACAGACTGACTGAAATGCACTGCTGAGGGGAGCAGCGGGTGAGACAGGAGAGGTCTGCTATGCCATGTGGGTAGCTCTCTGGCCAGCCAGGATTGAACCCGTGCTGCAGAGGCTGCGATAGCCTCAGAGCACTGTGCTCAACCGCCTGCACCACCAGGGGAGGCCCATGAGTTAAATCCTTTTATAATGAGCATAATCTAGTGAGGAAAATGTTTCTCTAAGTTCCATGAGCCCCTCTAGCAAACTAACAGAACCCGGAGAGGGGTTCATGGGAACCTGCAGTTTGTAGTTGGTCAGTTAGAAGCACAGGTGACAACTGGTCTTGTAATTGTGTCTCAAGGGAGAAGGTTAGTGGGGAAGAGTCTCGTAGCAACAAACCCTTAACCTCCAGGTAGATCATGTCAGAATCGAATTGTAGGGAGCTAGCTGCTTCTTGATGTGGGGGGAAAAAAAACACGTGAGAATTGCTCTCTGCATCAGACAGCCAAACCGTTTCTAAGTGGGTTCTATCATTTTCACTGCCATCAGCAGCACATGGAAGTTATGGTTCCTCCAGCGTCCTCATCAACACTGGGTGTGATCAAATATTGTTTTAGCTATTGTTGACTGGCTAACTCTCTGACTAAAATCTCTGACATTGTTAAAATCTCAGTGATAGTATTGCAGCACTATTTACAATAGGTAAAACCTGAAAACAACCCAAATGCCCAAAAATAGATGACTGGATCAAGAAGATGTGGTACATGTACACACTGGAATCTTACTCAGAAAAGATAAACTCATGCCATTCACAGCATCGTGGATGGAGCTAGAAGGAATTATGCTCAGTGAAATAAGCCAGAAGGAAAAAGAAAAATATCGGATGGTTTCACTTATAGCAGGAATATAGGGGAACCCAATAAGACATCAGTGTAAAAAAGTAATAACAGAACAAAACACAACAAAGCAAAAATGGACAATTATAAATCAGGGACATCCTGCAGGGGAGGAGGCGGGAGAGGGAGGCACACAGGGGACTGAGGTGATGGTGCACAGGTGCATTGGGGAAGGAAACTCTATGGGGACCACACCTGAGGGGGTGGGGGGAAGCAAATATGGTTTAAAAATGAACAAAGATGTAAAAAAATAAAAAAAAATTAATAAAAAACCTCAATGATAGTTACACAAAGAGCTTATTCAATAATCAAAGTGATGATAGGAACCGGGGAAACAGTCTGACAGATTTTACTCTGTGATTGCTGTTCCAATAAACCCAGGTTTGGATTGTGTTTATATATTTAGAAACAGTGACTCCTTGGCATTAAGAATGCAATTATTCTTTTTAATTTAATTAATTTTTTTTAGTTTTAGATATGTCTTTTTTTTTTTTTTTTAAGAATGCAATTATTCTTGATGGGTTGGTGGGGGTTGTAGTTCTAAACTGTCTGGACCGAAAGATATGCTGATGCAAGAGGAGCGCAGTCATTTCCTTTCTGAAAAGCGCCTTGCGGGAGATCAAAGGCTGAGTACCCACTGTTAAATCTTTATCTGCTGCTTGGTCCTCAGTGGGGTTGAGAAGACTGGCTTTACCCTCAGGAAGCAGATTCCTGCATTGGCCACAGGATGGAGCCTGTCAGACATTAAGACATTAAGTCTGTAAAGATGACTTTGCTCTTTTGCGTCCTGGGGTGAGGGTCTCCAGAATATGTTACAACATGTTCACACCATTCCAATAGGGATGCAAGCGGCATCTCATTATGCTTATTCATTTGCAATGACAAATGATGCTGAGCATCCTTGAGCATTATTTTATATTATTTATATCTCTTTGGTTAAATATTTATTCAACTTTTCAAAGTTTTGCTTTTGTTGGGTGGGACCAGAGTAGCATTTAGCCTAGTAATAATTTATCTCCACTACCAGGCACACCTTCCTGAGGCCTTCTGGTTGGAACCTCCATCTTCCAGTAAGTGGCCAAAACCACCAACAGAAAGGGAGGGAGGAGAGGCTCCGCCGTGCATTCTTTGGGCCTTTTAGAAAACATGGAGGTGCTCCTTGAGCCACGGACATGTGAATCTACACCAATGGTGGTGGTATCCATGTCAAGGAAATGAGCACTGTACAAAGAGGAACACCCCAGACATGTTTCCACGGCAACGCTGGAAGAATCCATACTGTCACCCAGCATGCACTTGACATTGTTGTAAACAAACAAGGGCAGGATTCTTGCCCAGAGAATTAAAGTTCTTATTGAGCATATTTAGCACTCCAAGAGCCAAGATCGCTTTCTGAAACATGTGAAAGGAATGATCAGGAAACAAAGAAAGCCAAAGAGAAAGGTCTGGGGTTCCACTCAAGTGCCAGCCTGTCCCCCCACCCCCCAGTACCCCAGAGCAGCTCAATGTGGGAGAACCCACGGAGAGAAGCTGCTGGATCCCATCCTCTATGCGTTCATAGCATGATAGGTGTGAAAAGTAAACAATGAAAGACCCCAGACTATTAAAAAAAAAAAAAAAAAGACCTTTCTGAGTATCCTGCCCAATGCCTCCTGAATTATGAGCTTTTCCAGTTTGGCTGATGGGAAGCTGCACTATTCTTGGCCCGGGTCTACACCAGTCATTATTCTTGATGATCTTTCCAGATAGTCTTTTCCTTGAGCTTTGGTAGTTTCCTCCCATACTTGCTCAGTAAGACGGAACGCTGCAGTTCTACCAGGGTTCCTTCTCTGTGCAAGCCTCTTGTCGTTGTCCAGTGAATTGTAGCAGCCTTGGGCGCCCCAGTCTCTCTGCCTCGTCTCCTTAACTCACAGATTCCCTGGACTGCCTGGGTCCTCCTCCCCGGTGTCATGGGTTGAAACCTCTCCCAAGACATTAACCCAGGGTGGTCACAGCAGTCACATCATCTCCTTCCCGTCTCCCAGTGATCATTATCCCTTGTTGTCTAACGTGCAGTGTCCTGAAACCATTGCTTCAAATATTGTGTCTGGATTTTGGTTGATTTGTCAGCAGGCAAGGAGAAGGCTACAGTGATCATGCCCTGTACACTAAGGTACTTACAGGAGCCATTGCGGAATGCTAGTAACCTCAGGACCGGACAGAACAGCCATGCCAAGATGATAACGGGGTGTCATGTGCAAAAAGAGACTTGAGCAAAGGTGCTAGTGCAAGAAAAAGTCACTTGTGCATGACCACTGGGCCCCTGCCCCAGGGCGTGTAGCTCTTCCCTGTCAGGGACTCTGCATCCCCTTGCTGGGGGATAGGTGTCTTTCGAGCAAGAGTTCACCCTTCTCCAGGCTTTGATCAAAAAATAGTCCCCATCTGCTGTGCCACTCAGTTTCATTCTTTTGGCACCAATGATACTAAGGAGGGATAAAAACAGCCAGCAGCTTAGCCTCAAAGGTCATCTCAGTAAGAGAAATCTAAAGTCTTAGCTAAAAAATAATACAGAGGGCCTCCCCGGTGGCGCAGCGGTTGAGCGCTGGACTGTGAAGCTGCCCGCAGCCTCTGCAGCACCGGTTCGATCCCCGGCTGCCATACGAGGGTCCCACATGGCGCGCAGACCTCTCCTGCCGCCCGCTGCTCCCCTCAGCAGTGTCCTTCGGTCCTTCTGCCTGCTCTGCTCCCCGCTCTGGCTCTGGTGAATTCTTTCACCCTCCCATGCTTCTGACTGTACCCAGTGCTTGTATAAATAAATAAATAAATCTTTAAAATAAATAAGTAAATAAATACAGAACAACCCAAAGTTTTAATTTTTATAGATTTTTTTTTTCAGCTTGAGCCACCAAATAAGTCTAGAGTTCCCTGATTCTGATGCCACTGCTGCAGTGGAGATTGTCTAATCTCCACCTCTGCATAATTATCTATCATTTCTTCCTGTCATCTCCAGTCTGACATTACGCCCTGCGCCTCTTTTTCACCATGTGGCAATGGACACCCACAAACTGATGCACACAAAAATCCTTCTTCATAAACATGATAATTTTGAGAAACTGCCTCAATACTTTTGTTAATCTCATCGATCTGTTTGTTAATCTACATGTGTGAGTATACTCATATTTGATGGTTTTTTTTTCAGCAAATCTTTGCTGTGACCTAATTCACAGGTAATGCAATATAGCAGTACGATAAGAGGAGCAGGACTTTAAACAAAAGTTGACAATACAGCTGCAGCTTTTCTAAACATGAAGGAAATACATGTAGGAGATACATGCCAGAATACATACACACCAACAAAATAAAATGGAATCGATTAGAATCAAGAAGAATTAACAAGTGCAGCAAGGTTGCAGGATATAAAAACAGTGCAAAAATCAATTATATTTTTACACACTAGCAGTGAACAATCTAAAAATGACATTAAGAAAACAATTCTGTTTACAATGGCATCAAAAAAGAGTGAAATCTTTGGAATAAATCAGCAAAAGAAGTTCAAGACTTGTGTACTGAAAACTACAAAATGTTGAGAAATTAAAGATGTAAATATGTGGAAAGACATCATATGTTTATGGATCAGAAGACTTAATACTGTCAAGATTTTAAATGATAAAATATTCCACAAGTTGATCAACAGATTCAACACAATCTCTAGTTTCTCCAAAAAGATAAACAAATGGTCAACTAGTACAAGAAAAGATGTTCATTCTTCATCTTGGACATGTAAATCAAAGCCAGAGATACCACTTCCTATCCTCTAGGATGGTTAAGGTCAAAAGGACAGACAATAGCAAGATTTGGTGAGGATGTGGGGAAAGAGGAATCCTCACTTTGTGAAGAGATTGTGAGATGATGAAGCCACTTTAGGAAAACAATATGTCAGATTCTCAAAACATTAAACAGAGTTGCCATATGATTCAGCCATTCTACCCTAAGCTACATATTTAAGAAAATTTAAAAAACATATGTCCACGCAACAACTTGTCCACAACAACATTATTCATGGTAGTCACAGAAGTAGAAACAATCCAAATGTCTATCAACTGGTGAATAGGTAGCTACCATATGGGATAGGGTATTATCCTCTTAATGTGTTATCATTCAGGATTAAAAATGAGAGAGGTTCTGCTACACGCTGCCAAGTGAATGAACCTTGAAAGCATTTATTCGCAATGAAGAGAGCCTAAAAGCATGTCACTAAAGTCCACAGGTCGGATTCCATTTACATGAAATGTTCTGAACAGGTAAATCCAAAGTGACAGAAAGTATATTTATGGTTGCTAGGGGCTTTGGGGTGGATGGAATAAGGAGTGATAGTTAATAGTGATGATTTTGAGGGGAGATGAAATGTTCTATAATTAGATGAGGATAATTGTTGCATAGCTCTATTCCTAAAACCCACAAATTTATGTACTTTAAAATGGTGAGTTTTATACTATGTGAATTGCACCTAAAAGAGCTGTCATTAAAAAAAATAGAATGAAGTATAAGTATTAAACTGAAGAGCAAAAAATGAGTACATTTTATTACTAGCTTCAGGTCCACAAGATGTAGTTTTATAAAGTGAATAAATTTTTCTTGTACCCAAATCTGCTATGCTTTCAACAATTCAATTAATGTTGGTTGCATTTTCCTCTATTAGTAAAAAGGAAAATGTTTAGACAGTTTAGTTTCACAATGTAATTCCACTTGATATTATTCTTCTAAGATAAATATCCATAGCTTTAATAATAACATATTTATTCCTAGATAATCCTAGATGTGAAAATAGAGAGTAGAATGACAAGGCAAAAAATACCAGTGGAATGTGAAAAATGAAGCAGGATATGAACTTTCTACTTGTTCTAATATGTTTTCTTTCCATTTCCTTGGTAATAAACACAATCAAGAGAAGTATGCACTTCCTTGCCACTCCTGGGAACAGAATGCTTTTCCCCTTACCTGTGTCAAGACTGATCACTAGTGTCATAGACACTAGTAACCTAAGCCTGGGCTGTAATGGGCCATCAAGATCTGCGCAAGGGGTTAAGTCGCCACACTATGAAGCTATCCCCAGCCACTGCAGCATGAGTTCGATCCCTGGCCAGGGAGGTGACCCACATGACGCAGCAGCCCTCTCCTGTCTCGCCCACTGCTCCCCTCAACAGTGTATTTTAGTCAATTCGCATGTTCTGCTCCCCACTCTGTCTCTGGTGAATCCTCTCACTCCCTGTACCCCAGTTCTTGTATGCATAAATAAATAAATCTTTGAAAAAAAGAAAAAGAAGGAAGAATCTGTGTAACTATCTAAAAATGGTATAGGGCAGAAGGCATGGGGGAGAGGTTTGACAGAGACTGGGTCTGTGATATAAACACGGGGGAAAGTCATAAAAGTGGGAACTTATGCAGAGAAGTGGAGTGACTGAGCCTGACAGTGAGGGCCTACTGGCCAGCCCGCCACAAAAGGAGGCTCCAGGCCCTTTACATTCTGGCAGCTGTGGCTAGGGTGCTGGCAGGTACCCAGCCTCTCAGCTGACGAATGGCTGGGTTCAAAGATTTCACTCAATGGGGCCTCCCCGGTGGCGCAGCGGTTGAGCGCTGGGTTGCGAAGCTGCCCGCGGCCTCTGTGGCGCCGGTTCGATCCCCCGCTGCTCTCCGGCCACCGGAGGAGGGTCCCACATGGCGCGCAGACCCCCCCTGCCGCCCGCTGCTCCCCTCAGCAGTGTACTTCGGTCCTTCTGCCTGCTCTGCTCCCCGCTCTGGCTCTGGTGAATTCTCTCACCCTCCCGCGCTTCTGACTGTACCCAGTGCATGTATAAACAAAACAAACAAACCAGCAAACAAATAAATAAAGCATGCCTCTATTAAAAAAAAAAAATTGCATTAAGAGGTACCAAGCTGCAATTTAAAAAAAAAAAAAAAAAGATTTCACTCAATGATGTAACTCTTGCTAAGAAGCACCTCAGGCAACTAGCATATAGTAAGGATGCTAAACTAAGAAAAAGCCGTATTTCCTTCTCTCTGCAACATGCCCACTTTTTCTCTTATGAAAATACGAAAAGACAAGACCAAAAAGAAGGAAACAATTGGAAAAATGTGCCTTTTAGCTAGCTTATTGAGCTGGATATGCACCTATGGACCGTCAGTCCCAAATCTTCCCTTTTATAGTGTCTCGATTTCGCGCTGGAACTTGGACTTTGCAAATTACATTTCTCAGACTCCTGTCAGCTGTTGTTAGATTCTGCCACTAGGAGGCACTGGAGCAATATTCGAAGTCAGGAGGAGGACGAAATTTCTTTGAGGATTTTTTGCTGTTCTTACATTGGCCCAATCTCTTTCAGCACCCCTAAATTCATGGCCTCCTCAGAGAGAGCTAGTTAACATGCATTTCTCCCAAGCCTGATCCCCTGCTCCGGAGGGGTCCTTTCTCCACAGAGGTATGTGATGGTCCCAATATCTTCCCTCTGGTTTCTCCAGACCTAGTTGTATCTGTGGCTTCTGCTGTTTCCTTTGGGTTAGTTCAGACCTGCCACACTGGAGCAAACAATTCTCTGTATAAAATCTCTCCTATTAAAATACCTAATGTCCTGTGAGCTAAAGCCCAATGGGGGTGTGACTGCTGAGCCTTCCCTTCCCCAAGGAGCCACCTCAAACTATAGCATGGTGCAGCTGACTTCACCTCAATCCTGATGTTACCTTCCTGGAGAGATATCAGATCCTACAGGCTAAGGACTCAGTCTTCCAACCGCCTCCCACCTCAGAGGCTGGCCACAAGCCCAGGCTGCTACCGTTGCTTCTGACCAACTGGCCATAGGTTGGAGGTTCCCACGACCTGTTCCTCAGATTTCTCTAATCTCTTCCAAGGAGTGTTTTGCATTCTTCAGGTGTATGCCTAGAGGTGGGATTGCTGGTCATATGGTGGATCGGTTTTTAATATTTTGAGAAATCTCCATATTGTTTTCCACAGGGATGGACCAGTCTATATTCCCAGCAAGAGTGGACATCTTAAATACCACTTACTTTTTCTTTAAAACTTCTGCAACAACTCAAGATGGGCATCCTTCCACAGGCATTCCACTTGCCTGTGGTATGGGGTGCACACAGTGGGGTGTCAGGAATGTGGCCCCTCAGTTGATTTGCCTGTGTTGTGACTTGATTTGCTGTTGAGAGAGAAGCCCTGGACTCTACCTACAAATAAAAACAGTGACCATTTAAATCTAGTTTTAGTCTCTAAAAAAAAAAACAAAAACAAAACCCTAAAGGGGCCTCCCTGGTGGTACAAAGGGTTAAGATACAACCTATGAAGCTATCCGCAGCCACTGTACCACGAGTTCGATCCCCGGCAAGGGAGCAACCCACATGGCGCAGACCTCCCCTGCCTCGCCAGCTGCTCCCCTCAGCAGTGGATTTCAGTAGACCCGCCTGTTCTGCTCCCCACTCTGTCTCTGGTGAATCCTCTCACCCCCCACACCTCTAGCCCATACCCCGATTCTTGTATACATAAATAAATCTTCAAAAAAAAACCTTATAAAACAGATATACAAGTAAACCAGGGGTGCGGTCTTGTCTTAATAGTCCCTGACCAAATTGTCTTGATATTTTCATTTAAATTTTATCTGATAGAGAAAAGAACATTTCCATTTTTATATCAGCTTAAGATTCTATACTGATTAAGAGATACAGCTCGGCATTTCCTCTATCATTGTCACATCTTTGGGAGCAGAGTTATCAGATTTTAGGTCTTAAGCCAAAATTACTTTTACTCTTAAAGACTTTTTTATTAGTTGAACTGCCTAATTATCTTGATCCTGAGCCACATTGAGCAATTATCCATAAAAACGTTCTTGCTGCAGTTTTTATTGTTCATTTTCTTAAAGGACTATTATTGATGCAAATAACATAACTGCAATTCATTTGCTGTAGTTCACATTTCAACTGTGCATCTGTTCCTGAAGAGAAGCTTCAAAAGATTGGCGGGACCCTATTGACTATTTGCGGTCAGAAAATGCTTCAGTAGCTCTGTTTAAGATGTCAAAATAGAGTGTTGACAAGCAAAACATTTGTCATATTATAGTTTTTGTCCCCAAGTATGGAAAATTACTTATTTGAGTTACCATCACATATTAGACTGTTTTGTTTATAGTTTTCTGTCTTATAACTGAAATTGCAAGTTATCCAGAATTCAGAGACTTATTTTGTACCATACAGAAGCAGCAAGGATAAAATTCTACACTCTGGGGCCTCCCTGGTGGTGCAAGGGGTTAAGCACCGCACTGTGAAGCAATCCGCAGCCTCTGCAGCATGAGTTCGATCCCCGGCTGGCCAGGGAGCAACCCACATGGCGCACAGACCTCTCCTGCCTCGCCCGCTGCTCCCCTCAGCAGTATATTTCAGTCAGTCTGCCTGTTCTGTTCCCCGCTCTGTCTCTGTGAATCCTCTAACCCCCCGCATCTCTGGCCTGTACCCCACTCTTGTATGTTAAAATAGATAAATCTTAAAAAAAAATCTGCACTCTGGAAAACATCATAAAGATGGACAAATTAAATCAGACCTCACTTAATGTTGAACTTAAATTTATAATCAACTTTATGATAGGAGGTTCTAGGGAATGCTTAAGCTTTTTGTTTTAAACAGGAGCAAGTCTCCAATTTCGTTTAGATTCATTTCATTATAATGTTAATGAGAAAAAAAATCAGCTCCTCCTGGGGGCCACTGTCTGTGCGGAGCTTGCTAGTGTCCCCATGGCTGTCTGGGTTTTCTCTAGGGACCCTGATTTCGCCCCACTTCCCAAAGATGTGCATGTGAGGCTCGTTGACATGCCTCAATGGTTCCAACATGAGCACATGTGGGCGGGGGTGTGCGGTGTCTGCGGTGGAAGGGTGGCCTGTCCGGAGTGGGGCCCCACCTGTGCCCTGGGCTGCTGGGCAAGGCTCTGGCCACCATGATCCTGACCTGTAATAAGTAGATTGGAAAATGAGTGAATGAATGAATAAATGAACACAAACGTCACTTGAATATTAGAAGCATGTTGGGTCTTTATAAATTTGGTGATGTTTTTATGATCAAAAACATTCTGTAGGAACTTACCCCTCGTGTTATCTATTAAGCCTAAGATAACACTGGTTTCATTACGCATTTTGCTTCACTTAGTCTCAGTTTCCAAGAACCTATTGTTGACATTAAGTGAGGCCTTGCTGTACCCTCCTGTGCTTTTACCCACGTGTGAAAGACAGTTAATCTCAGATAGGCCCATTTTTAAGTGAACGGCTCAGTGTTGCAAACACATGTTTTCATAGTTAATCAAATCTTTTCTGCAAATGGGTGGATTTTTATGCATGGATTCCTGGTGTCAAGAACACAGTCAGACCCTTCTCTGGTGTGTTGGTAGGGCATCTGAAAGGGATATCTCCCTCCCTGCAACTAGTAACACTAAGGATATGTATTTATTCTATCCTGTGAGGTTTGCCAACAGCTCAGTTGAATTCTTTTTTTCTGATGACTGTTGAAATGTAAAAGAAAACTAGACCAGAAGACACATTTTTGTCCTAGGAAAACCCTGTTCTTGATACCCAGAAAGAAATTTAAATGCATTGAAGTCATCCAGCGTCACGCCAGAAAATAACAAAAGTCCCTGCTTGGACGGGCTGAGGATTAAGCGCAAGCCCATAACTGCCCCTCCTCTACTCTGCCCCCCCCCTTCATGTTCTGCCAGTAAAGAAAACAAACTGGGGTTTCTTTCTCAAAAACCCGAAGGCAAAGCTTCAGAGAGCAGGAAATGATGCCCCTAAATACACACTAAGAAAATGCCCAAATTGAACAATTCCCAGGCTTATGAAGCAGCGTGTGTGCCGCTGTTTTCCTATGTGGATTTTTCTTATCTCTTCCCTATTTAAAACATGGAGTGGGCAGAATGTTTAAAATGCAGAGTTTTCCCTGTTGTAACCTAGGAACAATAACTTGAGGTTTCTAAGTAGGTAAGTGTCACCATGGAGACAAAAAGAAATCGCTCTGAGATATAGTTTCTTCCTGGAGCATATTGCTAAAAAAAGGACAAGAAGTTCAAAGTATGTGAAGATGGACTCAGGGACTGTGGAGCCAGCTGAACCTTTGGTCTGTTACTAGCTCTGAAAATGGAGTTTTAAATGTCCAGACACCCTGTTAATTGGTATGTAAAGTGGCATAACCTCTATGGGGAGCAATTTGCAGATAATCACCTTAATTATAATTACACCTACTCTTTGACCCAGCAAGTCTTCTTCTGGAAATTTATCCTACAGATACACAGAATTTATCCTACAGATACATATAGCTTATGCATATATGCTAAATAATGCACACACGAGGTTATTTATTGTAATGTTATTTGTAGTAGCAGAAACCTGGAAACTACCTAAGTTTCACTGGTTAAAATAAAATGTAAGTGCTATGCCTTTCCTTACCCCACCCCCTGCCATGCTTTGCCATTAAAGAAAACAAATTATGGTGTCTTTCTCAAAAGCCTGGAGACAAAGCTTCAAGTGCAGGAAGTGATGCCATATTGGTATGGAATGATATACACTGTGAAGCCAAAGTAGCAAATGCAGCAAAAAACAGTGCATTTAGCACGCTAGCACTCCGATCTGTGTAAAAGGAAGTGACCCTATTCACACTTTCTTGTTTGTATACATCTGACATAGCTTTGGATGGTCTCCCTGGAAAGTGCTAATAGTGGGTGCCTTACCAAGCATGGAACTGGGTCACTGGGGTACAGGTCACAGGCTAACATGTGCTATGTACCAGGCAGTATACTCAGCTCTTCACATATATTGTCTCATTTAATTTTCACAACTCCATGAGACAGCTATTATTCTTCCTTTTGTTACAGAGCAGACCTTGATGAAACATAGCTAGGTTCCACACCCTAATCATACCCAATGGTGGGGTGGTCTGCTGGTACCCAGAGGTGGGGCAGAGGGGTTGATGCTTCCCTAAGAATGCAATAAAAAGTCTCATAGCCCAAGGGATGGGGTCCCTCTCTCATGCACCGATTCAGTCAGAAGTCGCTCCAGAATGTCTGGACAATGGGAGGATCTGTATTCTAGAGACTTCTGCTTCCATAAATCTTCTTATTGTGTTGACAATAACACCCAAAGGCCTAAAATCAAGAGTCTAGCCTTCTTGCTAATTCTGACCTTCAGACCATCGTGAGAGCCCTCCGTGATTCTGCCTACCTGAAGCAACTACTCATACTGCACACAAAGATGCCAAACATCTCAGCAAGGGGACACCCAGAGTCCTATTTGCCCATGTATCCATCTCCAGCTTCTCCAGGTGACACACAATTCTGGTGACTTGTGAACTCAGCTGTACGATTGAGCATACCAACTCTCTTTCAACATAGTGGGAAAGAGAAAGGAAAAAAAAAAAACTTGAAAGAAAAAGAAATCTGCTGTATATATATATGTACACAACTGAAATATTTATATACCTTTTTTATATATACTTCTTCACCACTCATTCCACAATTCTCTTTTCCTCAACCAATTATTCCTGATTGGTCAAGATTCTTATGCTTTGCTTGATTAGATGATGACAACATTTATTGTGGAGAACTTGAGACTATGGACTCTGTCTTCGCATAGAGCATGTAACTATCTCCTCCCGGCTCAGGAGGAGACTGCAGTTCTCTCCCTGGGGCATAATGGAGTTTCACTCTAGCTATGAGCCAGCAGGCAATGACAGATGAGAGACAGGAAAGCTAGATTAGTAACTGAGCCCTGCAGGACGGCTCTTCCTCTCTCTAGCAAATGCACGCTACCTTGTCACCGGAAAAGACTTGAGGGCCAGGTCTTATTTAGCCTTTTCTCCAGGCGCTGAACTGCAGTCATAGACGCTTACCTTGCTTCATATCCAGGCTGGATAATGTGTACTCTTGGCTGTTCTCACAAATGGTCTCCTCTGTCTATTTTGAGTCCACCTTACGTGCACTCTGGGGTTCACGTTAGGTCATTCCTAATCACCTCTGGTGTCACCTACAAAGGCAAGGATTGAAACAGATTGTTGACAAAGTGAAGCATGAAGTCTAGAGGCCAAACTGGGAGATCAGAATTTTGGGCTAGGCACTAAAAGACTAGGGTCCACCTGTACAAGACTGACTCTTTCAGGATGGTCTTTGAGAAAAAGAGTTGACTTTCTGCACCATTCCATGGAAACCGAATACAGCCCAGGGCATATAGGCACTGGCCAATGTCAAATGTTGGACAGACCCCCCTTCACATCAGGGAATGGGTTGGCACCCCCTCAACTGTGAATGTTAAGGTGCTAATTCCTATAACTAACTCACCCCACCCCCTGCCATCATATCGTTCAAGGCCTGGACTTCACTCCCTGTTTCCTGTCAGGACATGAGGGACAAGGCTGAGCCCAGATGATAGACTAGAGTCAAGTTTCTGTCCTGTGATATTGCGGTTGCAGCCCACACCCTGAACATACCCAGCGGTGGGGTGGTCTCTGGTACCCAGAGGTGGGGCAGAGGGGCTGATGCTTCCCTAAAAATGCAATAAAAAGTCTCATAGCCCAAGGGATGGGGTCTCTCTCTCGCGAACCAATTCAGTCAGAAGTCGCTCCAGAATGTCTGGACAATGGGAGGATCTGTATTCTAGAGACTTCTGTTTCCATCAATCTTCTGAATGCAACTCTGTGTGTTCTGTGTGGGCATTTTATGTGACACCCCTCCAGAGGCCTCTGTGGTGATGTATGTATTGTTCGATTTGGTCTGGAGTATTTTTCTCATATTGAATTCAGGTCAGGGTTGATGTATTCTCTGAACCTCTGATTACAACCTTCATTCCCAGTTAGACAATTAAAAAAAACACCTATGTAAAGTTGTTGTAGAGTTTCAGAACATTTTATAATAACCTATAATAACCTGTTTACTAATTTCTAGATTCTGATAGTACACATTTATAGTTATCTACTCTCATGTGTATGTGATGGCTATTTTTCTCCGCTTCTAAGTAAACATTTTTTTCTGGCTGAAAACTTTTTCTTATTTTCTCAGGATCTGGCCTCCTCTCACCCCCTGCATCTCAGGCCTGTACCCCAGCTCCTGTATGCATAAATAAATAAATCTTCAAAAAAAAAAAGTATGTTTTCTAGGGGACTGGCTCTCCAGCGTGGGGTCCGGAAGGCACAGTGGCTCTCCCCCGAGGAGAAGATGCGCTCTTTATTGGCTCCCTCTCTTCACCCCCTCATATAGCTGTACCCTTATAATTGGTCTCAGGACTTTATACTGGTGTCAGGTATTGGCTTGACTTGACCAATGGGATGATTTCATTGAGGGCTTTTCACACAGAGACTTGCAAAAGTGCGTGCCATTTCTCCTTACTGTCTAATTCCTTTGCCTTCACCTGGAACTTCTTGGCTGATTGTGGAAGGATGAGACATGTGGGGGGTGTCATCCAGTTGTCCCTCCAAATGATCTCGTGGATATTTTCAGGGTGTTCACAGAATCTGAAAACGTAGGCTAATATATAAAGTTACCAAGCACATCTTTAATCTGTAAGAAGTAAAATAATACAAATTTATTATTTGTTTCCAGGGTTGATGGGCATTTTTGTAAAACAAAAGCCAAAATACTTTCCATGATTTACAGGAAGGCCCTGTCCCCTCCACCATTCTGATCTCCTGTTTTCCCTTTTGCTCATCTGCTCCAGGCAGCTGGTCTTCTTCCTGTTCTTCCTGAAGCTCAGCCCATCTCTTGCCTCAGGGCCTTTGCACTTGTCAGGAATACCCCTCACTTTTCACCCAGACATCCACATAGCTGGCTCATTCCCAATTCTTTTTTTATCTCTTCCAGGATCACCTTCCTTTATCACTCTGTTAACTCCACTCCAATGCTTTCTATTATTTTTTTCTGTTTTATTTTTTTCCATAGTGCCTATCATAATTTAACTTATTGTATATTTTCCTTAGTTTTTTCCCTTCCTTACTAGATGGGAAATTCTATGAGGGTAGGGATTTTTGTCTTTTTTTGTTCATGACTATATTTGTAATATCTAGACAGTACTTAATAAAAACTTATTGAATTGAAGAAAGCAACCAATGTTTCAAAACATTACTATCATTTTCTCCATTTATTTCTGCATGTCCTTAGGCATTCTCCTTAAGCATGGTTATAATTGCAACACACCAACCTATGTGGATCCTTTATAATTTATCTATTTCCCTGTTACAGGATTTGTGAGTTGTTTTTTATTTTTCTCTGTTTAAATAAGTCTTTGATGATTATCCTTGTACATAATTCTTTGAATGCACTGCTGTTACATATATTTTGGATAGAGTACTGGATATAGAATTTATAAATCAAAAGATAGACGCTTCCTTATGGTGATTAATTTTTTGATTGGAATTTTTTAGTTTAATTATCTTGAAATATCTTCTTTATTCTTTTAATTTGGGGGTTACATTTTTCTTCTTCATATGTGCACATGTTCCATTCACCCTCCACCAACTCTTCCCTCCCATGCCCCTCCCACTTCCTCCTTCCTCCTGGATGATCCTTCTGATAACCAGCATATTTTTCACTAGGTCCAAGATTTTTTTTTTGCTGTGTTTTGCAGAATATGTTTTGGCTGTTTACATCCCACAGATGAACAAAATCATCCAACATCTGTCTTTCATTTTTTGAATTATTTCACTTAACATAATCACCTCGAGGCCTATCCATTCTGAGAGGTAAACATTTAAGATATTCTTGCTCCAGAGTTATACATTATTTTCCAGAAATACTGCATTGTTTCTTTCTTCTGTCAGCAGTGTATGAACACATCTCATCCCTCTGACGCCAGCACTGATTTTTTTTTTTATTGTGGTAAAACAACATAAAATTACATAACAGGTATAACACAAAATTGATCACTATAAGCATTTTTAAGCATATGGCTCAGTGTATCTAAGTCTATTCACATTGTTGTGCAGCCATTTCCACCATCCATTTCCAGAACTTTTGCAAAACTGACCATCTATACCCATTAACACTCTAACACCCTCTCTCCACTCTCCCCAGCTCCTCCTTACCTCCAGCCTACTGTCTAGCCCTGTGAATTTAATTAGATATGCCATAGGAGTGGAACATACAATGTGTCCTTTTTTGACTGGCTTGTTTCACTTAGCATAATGCAGTTCATCCGTGTCGTAGCAGGTGTCAGAATTTTCTTCCTTTTTAACACTGAATTAACATTCAAGTATATACCATATTTCATTTATTTATGGTAAAGGACACTTGGGTACTTCCACCTTTTGGCTAACCAACATTGAATTTTAAAAAGATTTTAAACTACTTGCAGTTTTAAAATATTTGACTTACTGTAATGTTGGTCACATCCAATCCCTCTGATTAGCTATTTGTATTTTTATTTTGTTTACGTAAAATTGGGGGATAAAAGTTTCATTGAATTTATGTATTTTATGGAATCAATATAGAAATGTATTAAGCTAAGAACTCATTTATGTTTGTGTCCAGAATGAAAGCAGCCTTAGTATTTCATCATATACAAAAATACTTGCAATTTGCCATGGATGCCTCTAGATGGCAGTAGATCCTCAGTCATGTGTTGTGCAGCCTTTCGCATGGTGCCTGTGTAAGTGTATGTTGTAACAACAGCTTGATAGATTTAAAATCTGATCCAAATGTTATTTGGGGACGAGAAAGCAGAATAAATCAGTATAGAGGCTGGACATCCTGATAGCTCTTTCAGTGTACAGGCTGTATTCTTTTTCTTTTCTTAAATGAACTATAATTGACAGAGTATTATATTAGTTTCCGGTGGACAGCTCAGGGATTCACACTTACACACATTTGTACAGTGATTGTCACGATAACCTGCTCTTTTCTCATTAATTTCTGTCTGCCTGCTTTTTCCTGCAGCAAATATTCTCCAGGTCTTTGTCTTGGATTAGAGTTTTGGAACAATCAATTTTAAAAGTGTTTCGAATTTCAATGCGAGGTCTGGAAGAGGATGGAGTGTCCCCTCTCCCAAGCATGGGGAGATGGGGCTTGTAGGGTGGGGGGGTTCTTCCCTATCTGTAAGGAATCTCTTGCACTCATTTTTCTGTGTCAACACTTCAGACGTCAACATTTACATTTCTGTTTGTCCTAACGAAAGCTTAAACCAAATATCTAACAAGGATGGATATGGGGATATGCCATCTCCTTGATTCTGATGTTTGGATTTTGATGTGAAGCCTTGACATTTGTGTTTGCTTTCTTTGTGATACTGCATTCAGAGTTTGTGTTGCAATTTGTTTTGGTTTTGTTTTTATTTTAAATTCTCAAGCTTCTTGTCCCCTTTTAAAGATACTTTACTCTCAGGAAGAAAAACTGGACTCTTGCTTGTTTCTCTTCACTTTGCTGTCTTGAGTTTGACTGGGGCCTGGAAGGTCAAGGGACTTGCCTAGGGTCTTAGCACTGAAACTGAAAGGACTGCCTTTTCCCTAAGCCAGTGGCTTGGATCATCTCTACCTTCTGAACCCTTAACGTTTTCTTAAACCCTTAACGCACTACCAAAGCGTGTCTGCTGAAGCATCTTGTGAAGTATCGATTTCTAACGCTGAATGCGTTTTCTTATAATTTTTGCTGAAAACACCATGTCTGGAAAGATCAATGAAATTTATGTGATAGTACTTTGAAATCTCTTAAGGAAAAGGCATGTTTCCTTTATATTTAAGGTAGAGAGCTAACACCTCTTGAAAACTTATTATGTAGCAGGTGCCTTTCATTTGTTATCACAATCAATACAATAACCTGCTTCAACTTCACGATAAATACAATTCTCTCTTTTATTGATACAGGGCTGGTTGTTCAGTGAAATTTTTTAAAAACTCGCTCAAATCTGCAACTAGTAAATGACAGAAGAAAGATCATGGTCTATTCCCACTGAATATATGGGGAAAATAAGAACAATATATTTAAGCTTGAAAAAATTTAGTTGCTCACCCCAAACTGACGTTTTTTGAATCTGTAAAATTCCCACAACTTTTCTCTCCTTAATTGTTAAAAACAAGGCAACTGACCCCAAATGGAGTTACTTATACCAAGGCCCACAGCACCAAACTGAGACCTAATTAAAGTCTTGACTCTCCTGGAAATGGAACTAAGCCAGTCAGTCAGGAAACCCTGATCAGCACTAGGGAGGTAACACACCCTAGACCCCAGCTACGCCCTAACAGGAAGTCACCTTGCTTTCACCCAGCCTCCTTTTGGACCATTGTAACATCCTTGTTCCAGCTCTGGCTGCCTAGGAAAGTCTTTGACTTTGCACAGCTCACCCGCTAGACTGGATGCTGCTGGATTTGAATCATTGAACAAAAACAATAAGATCTTTGAAATGTACTCGGTCTCAGATTACAAAAAAATGAATTACGTATTTCTCAAATTTTCTTTCTATACTTATATCCTAGTCACAATCAGCAGCATTTTACACATTTCTCTGAAATTTGCGAGTCTCTCTTGGGGGTTCCAGGTGTGCTGATTTAGGAAAATGAGGCATTAACATACAAGGGCTATTGGGTGCACCTGAACAGGGCTGTAGATGAGGCATTGTCCTCCATAGCAGGGGGCCTCCCCACCCTAGGGGGTGGAGGGAACTCCCTGGGGGGAAAGGGATGTGAGAAGGATTTACAGGGTGTCTGGGTGAAAAAGCTCCTAGTGCAATGTTGTCTTGAAATGTCTGCCTGCAAGGTCCTGTCTTATCATTAGGTAACAGCTGTTGGGTAAGATTCTAGAAGTTTGCAAGCTAGTAGTGCTAAGTGTCTAAATCTTGTACTGTTCAGACAATATTTAAAACAACAAGGATGTGTACCAACTAGCTTTTGAGTTAATGGGTCTCAGCCTGCAGTGAAGAATTACTGGGGCCAATACGCAGAAGCCAACTCTGATTCATTTATGTAAGTGTATCTCAAGTGCCAGAAGTACTGAAACATTCTGGGAATCTAGAAGAGCTTTTGATCGTTGAAAGTATCTGATTTAACTTAACGAATAGTTTATGAGTTCATTGATATTACCCTTCTATGGTTATATTGACCCACACATATATAGTACAAACATTATTTATGTTAAGAGGCCGTAAGTACCCGCACTTTTGAATACACTTTTATTTCAAAGAATCATGTAATCATCATTTGTGATTAATTTCTTATTACCACAAATTATACACAAATGTCAACAGTTATATTTTAAAAGCCTATTAACATCTGTGTAGAAGTCTTTAGATGAACAAGTGATTTCATTTCTTTGGGGTAAGTACTCAGGAAAGCAATGGGTATTAGGGCAGGTGTATGTGTACCTTCCTAAGAAACTATCAAAATATTTTCCAAAGTGACAATACCATTTTACATCCCACCATTTTATGTCACATATGAGAACTCTAGTCTCCCTATGCTGGTGGACCCAGTAAGGTTGGTCTTTTCCACTTCCATAGGTGTGTAGTGATTTTAATTTTCATTTCCCTGATGGCTAATGCTATTGAG